ATACGGAGTTAATATATTTTATACAGAGTAATTTGCTTGTTTTGAATAAATACTAAAATAAAGAAATGTGTGGAATGAGTATTGTCTTACTCGTAAATAAAATGATAATAATAAATTAAATTATAATTTAAGAAATAAACAAATAAGTATAATTATTATTAGTATTATTATATTAATAGTAATGTAATAACAGGTAATAATTATAATCATAAGTAATAATAATAATAACAACAACAATAATAATAAACATAATGATGATGATAATGATGAATTGTTGATAATAAAATAAATAATAAAATGAAAATTTAAAAAAATAAATATAAAAATTAATGCGTTTATTTTCTTCCCCCAACCAAACAAAGGTGAAAGAAAACTCTCACATCCCTCCCTACTCATTCCCGCTCATCCTTTCCTTCCCCTCTCCTTTATCTTAACCAAACAGACTCTATCACTATGTTTGGTTAAGGAATTTTGAAGGAAAAGAAAAGAAAATAGTTTTCTCTCATTTTCCTTACTAAAATAGGAGGAATTTGATTTTCCTTCCACTTAGTACATTTTGTCTTCTCATTCTCTTTTCCTTCCACTTTTCCTTTCTAACCAAACAAGAAAACTTGTTTTCCACTTCATTTTCTTTTCTTTTCTCCTTTGAATTCCTTGAACCAAACATAGTGTATGGGTTTGTTTGGTTGGAGGAAATGAGGGGAGAAGGGGGAAAATATATCCCTCCCCTTGTTAGGTCTAAAATTTTGGAAGGGGGAGCCAAATTTTACCATCTAATCCCATCCCCTCATTTTCGTCCCCTCCAAATTTTGCCTCATCGGTCTACCAGGCTTATTCACCTTCTTCAAATTTGCTTTCCACCCTTTCAGAAATCTGGGCTACCAAATGCTTTCACTGGTTTCACAAATCTGAATGGGGATGACAATTGTTGTGTTCTTGGATGGAGAAATTCACCATCGGAATCCAAACAAGGTTAAAGAATCTCTCTCCTTCGTCCTTCCAACCAACCAAACAGACCCTAGGAGTCTCAAGTGCACAACATTTAACACGCGACAAAGGGTTTGCATTTCAAAAACAACACAGAAAGGTCACATAAGCATCAAACATAAAATGTCTCAAGGTTGAGTTGAAACTCGAAGGGGAAAAAAACGAATCCACAACACATGAATAAGTAAGCAGGTTCAGATGATCATAGTCTCCCCATTAGCCGCGACAATTGATAAAAGAAAAGAAAAACACCCATACAAGTCCTACTCAGGTAGCATTCGACCGTGGTGGTGTGGGGGTGGGGTGGGGGGGGGAGGGGTCCCGTATTAGCGGGCCCCTCACAAGTAGTCTTCCCAAGATTCGGAACAATTTGACTCGTTGAGCAATTGGACGACTTTGGCCACACCAGCTGCAGCTTCCTTTGATATGGCGCTGTCGGGCATGTCAAAAGTTCTCCTCCTCATTGATGCACTCCTGCCAGGCTGCTGCTGTGCGGGGTCCACCACGTCAAGCATCGCTTCAAGCTCGTCCAACATACACTTCTTCGTGGATCGCACCAACATATCAGCACCCTATCAGCGCAAACACTGATCAACTAATCACAGTACTTGAAAACAGAGTAATACAACAGATTGAAGCACAAAAAAACTCATGATGTCATGCATATTTGTTTAGTGGCTTTCCCTGGCTAAGGTATCAAATGGGAAGTTTAATGTGCAATATTGATATAGTCTATTAACAACCCGAAGCTAAAACATTGTTAAAGATGAAACTTTTAGCTCCAATTGCGATGGACGTGTGTTTGAATGTGCACTTTTTCCTTCATGTGCCACATTTTCTACTACTAATGTTGCAGATAAGAATACCAAAAGAGCACAAATGAAATGCATCTCTATCAACTAGACACTAGTCATTGTTAGACTTTGTATTGTTTTTGTGACTCACAACATGGAGATGACTAGCAAAAAACAATGCTCCGTGATACATTCAACGCACTGTATAATTGTAATAACCGTGAAAAGAAATGATCTTAAGGCAAACAAACATGTGTCCTAAGTTGAGGGTGAAAACAAACTAAATGTAACTAATACAATGAAATGTTACCTAACTATTTTTAGTCTTTTTTTAAAGAGACAGAATTAAGATTACCTCAATGGCATCAATGGTGAGAAGGAGCACAATGATCTTCTCAGAAAATTTTTGCCGCTCCTCTGCATCACGATCCACACGTCGCCTGTATGAGAAGTTGCTGAACATAGCCCTGAGTTCCTTCAACTTGGCTTTAGCAATGGCCAAGTCGCGAAGGGCACGCAGCGCCTTTGACCTCCTTACAAGATAAGCCTTAAAGGTCATTTGTATGATCATGGCAGCATCTTGAGGGGACAACTCCTTCCTCTTTCCCTGTTTCTTCTCCATCCTCTTTGCATACGCCTATCACAATGCAACAAGTAATCATCCAGCCAACAATGGATGAAATGCATCTCCCAAAACCATCACATTACTTATCAAAACTGGCCCTAATAAGACTAATAAGAGCCGGACTAACAATGTTCTTCACTATGTTAAGCACAGTTAACAAAAGACGGCAAACGAATCATCAATTCATGATCAAGAAAATGTAATAAAGATGTTAAATCACAGACCTGTTTCAGGATGATGGCGCCATGATTGGAGGGCTCTTCTTCAATCTCAACCACGCGCGGAGAGTTTGCTTCGGGTTTCTTCTTCTTGTTCTTTTCTTCTTCCTTCTTCTTCTTCTTCTTCACATTCTTCTCAGCAGCAACACCCTCCCCTGCATCAATGGAGCAAGTCTTGAAACTGTAGGACCGCGAGATGGGGGAGTCATTCCCTTTCCCCTTGATCTGAGTAGTCAGCTTGTAGCTCTTCTCCGTCGCCCCCTTCTTCTTCCCGTCCTTAACCTCTGCAACCCACTTGTAAGTCCGGTCAAGCCCGTCTTCGTCGGGGGTCTTGATCTCCGCCGTCCACGTGTACTTCCGCTCCCCGATTCTCGACTTCTTCTTCGCAGCCCTCTTCTCCGCCTCCTCCTTGACCAACCGGTCAAACCCCAGCTCTAGAGCAGACACCCTGTCGCAGAGCCTCTGCAAGTGGAGACGCTCCGACCCGAATCGCTGGACCCGTTTAGCCGAGCTGTAGAACGGGGTCCTCTCGATCTGAATCAAATCGGTCACAGCCCCGAATTCGTCAAACGGGGAGCTGAGATCTGAGAATGCTCCATGAAATACGCTCGGAGAAAGCAAATCAAGAGCGATTTCGAGCTCGTCTTCAGCGGGAACCGCCGGGAACCCCCATGGGTTCAGCGGGAAAGTCTTGGGAGCCAGAAGCGGAGAACCCTTCAGGAAGAAGTAAGGGGAAAGCTCCTCCGTCAACTGATACCTTCTTAATCCGCTCATTGTTTTGGAACCGGAAATGGAGAGTTTTTGAATTCTTGAGAGAGATTGATAATGGAGGAGTGTGAGTGTGGGATGATGATGACTGAGAAGAAGAGTGGCAGAGTAAAGGAAAGAGGGTAAACTTGGAATTTCGCCATGAGCGATTGACGCCTTTACCGTGTGAATATGGTCTACGTGTGACTGTATTATTCCTTTCTTTGAAAGTGTAAAAGTAAACTTTACTAAACTTTGTTGACATTTTTACTTGAAATTTTTGAGATATAAAAAAGGTCAAAGTTGAAGACAATTAATTTTAGGTGTTTGAAAAGTATGTTTGAGAATTGAAAATAATTTCTTTAACTTTTATTTCATCAAAAGCACAATTCTAAGAGTTTGATAAGTTGTTTTAGCTTATATGTTGTGATTTTAAAAATAGAAATTGAAAGATTATATAAGTGATTTTAGTAAAGCTTAGTATCTGTTTTTCATTTCTAATTTAGTGCTGGTATTTTTTTAATAACTCGATGCACTCTCAAATACTCTCTTTATAGTATGTGATAACATTATAAATTTCATGAATAATGTTATTGTATATTCATCATATACAAATACTTTTTTTAATTGTTGATGGAAGAAAATGAAATAAGTTAAAAGAAACTGAAGAGAATTAGAAAAATTTGAAAGAATCAAAAAGAAACTCGGAAGGAGGATCTGTGCGCTTTGCTCCATTAGTTTCCAACTATTTTAGACCCACAAATTATTTGTTGCCAATTGTTTTGTTGTTCTTACGTTTATATTCATGTGGGATATTCACACATAAAATAATTTTATGTAATGAGCTTTGTAAAATTAAAAATATCCAATTATTAACCTATACAAAATAATTTTTTATGTTAATTTTATGATCATAATAGGACCATCATTATTAAAGTTATTTTTCAAAAGGAAAGGCTATCAATCTGTCACGGCTCGTGGACCATGATTTCAGAGTTGTGTGTTATTATCCGAAAGTCATAATCTCAACATTTAATTGATTGAGATTTAATGTACGAATATTCTCTAATACTTTTGTTATTTAAAGGAGCATTTTTTTTATAACGGAATTTAAAGGAGCATTTAGTTGTTTGATAACACGTTTTTTTATGTATTTTTTCTCATCCGCTTCATACTTAAGCCTCTTAATTTTGGGTTTAAATTAAGGCCTCGTTATGATCAGCGTTAGAAATTGGTGTTAGCATTTTTAAAAGTTTATTTGACGGTAGCCTTTATCATTACATTTTCGGATGCTAATTTACACCATTAAAATTTTGTCCAAAATATTAAAATTAATCAAAAACGCTTTTTCCTAACAAGGTCTAAGAAAAAAGATAAAGAAAATTTAGAATCTCATATTGTTGCCCTACTATTTGATTCTTGGCAAGTCTTAAGAAGATCAACTTTGTGATTTTTACTCATTTTATGTCTGATTTGATTTGATTTGGTTGAAATAATCTAATTATAAATATACGAAGTAATTAATACCTTTTTATCTGATTTCATCTGATTTTGACAAAAATAAATAATAAATTAAAAAAATAAGTTGAATAGAGACCTATGTTACATGGGAGGAGAAGAGTTACACTCGAAATCTAAACTACTCTATTAGAGTACATATTTTTTACTATGTTTATCTATGAATTAATTGTAAGGTTTAATATGGATAGACTCAAGTGGGAGTGAGAGCAACCAGAGATTCAACGTGGTAAAAACACCCGGAGAATCTCCCCATCAGCAACCCCATCGAAACCGCCCCAAACGCCGCGCCGCTTACCAACGCCGCGCGGTATCTCCACGCGCCACCGGTCGCCCTCCCTCTTCCGCCGCTATTCCCCTCCGATTCGCTTTCCGCCGCCGCCGTCTTCCCCTCCGAGTCACGCCGCCCCGTCAGCTCGTCCGGGACGTCGAAAACCGTAAACCCTGCCTGCCTGAAATCCTCTTTTCCGGCGCTCCCGTAGTCTTCCCCGCTGTCCAGACTCGGCTCGCTGCAGGAACACAGCGACGAAGAATCGTCCGTCCCGCCGCCGTCGGCCGCCGCCGCGGTGACAGAGTAGTCTTCCCGGCGCCGGAAACGGGGGTCGGTTCGGAGGAGTTTCTTCCGCCTTCTCAGGGGCTTCACCATTTCTTCGGATCAGTAATGGGCGCACGTTGAAAAGGGATTGAATCAGTAAACGAAATGGTGGGCGCGATTTAAGGGCGCGACGGTTATTAGCGGTTGAAAAAAATGCGGCGGGGCGTCTTATTCATATACGCATCCGATTTAGTTGGGCCTACGAAAAGTTTCAATGGATATTCTAATGGGCCAAAAGGTGTATTAATACTTCGTGATTCGACACTGTTTCACTCTTCACATCAATTTTGAATTTTCATTTATCTCCCCAAAAAAAAAACACAAACAAAATACTACAAAATTTTTAAATTTAATATTTTTGAGTTTAAATTTTATTTTTAGAATTAAATGGGACCATTTTATTCTTGCAGTAGTTAGTTAGTAGGGTTTAATAATTGGCAAGTTTGTGAATTATGCGATCTTTTTTTGTAATTTTAACATTATTCTTTCCCTTTTTTGTATACTATATTAAAAGTTTATATGGAAAAGAGAGAAATATTATAAAATTATTTTTTCTATATAATTGGAAGAATGTTTTTTTTAACTTTTGAGCAATAAATCTAAGTGGTTCCTATGATATTTCAATTAGTGAAGAATTAAAAAAATACAAATGAGTAATGAAAGTAGGGGTGGATAAATTAACCAAACCGGCTATGGAACTATTGACCGAAGAGCGAAATAACCGAAAGTTTGGTTTCAGTTTTTACGGTTATTCAGTTTTAAGTGTTGCTTTATTTGGAATCAATTCAGTTCAGATCAGACTAAAGCATAAACTAATTTTGCTTTTTGGCAGTTCAAAAATCACAAAAATATGTAGATTTAAAATTGATAGTGCAAACAACGAATTAAAAATAAAATTGAAAATTTCAATTTCAATCCAATTTCATCAGTTCCATGTACCAAACGAATCCTAAAGTACCACAGAGTATATACATAGCATGTAGTCAACCATTGCCTAGCACAGAAGGCGCAGTGAGATACGGAGTGAAAGGGAATGGAGAATGTAGCTAACACCAGAAGAGGGAGGGCAGTTTGGGAATCGGACTGAAGATAAATAAATAAATAAATAAATAAATAAATAAATAAATAAATAAATAAATAAATAAATAAATAAATAAATAAATAAATAAATAAATAAATAAACAAACAAACAAACAAAAATACCAACAGAAAGGAATTCACAGGCAAACGTTGAATCTGAGTTGTTCCAATAAAATCAAATGCCATCCAATATTCTTATATTCCCCATACTCACAACCTACCAAATGAAGCAAGGTGTGACCAGAGAGAGGTGTTGGGCATGTATTTAGTGTTTGTTGCTATAAGAAATTTATTTCACCCATGCGATAATACTTTTTTTTTACCTGAAACTGGTTAACAAATTTAAAAAAAAAAGCCTTCTATTTACAAAAAATGAAGCTTCTGACAAAGTACTAGTGCTACTAATACACAACATATGGATGGTAAGGTCTGCATTTAAGCTGCTGCTGCTGCTGCATTTGGCATATCTCACCCATGACTCACCCCCCCATCCAAAGCAACAACTTAATGTTGCTATGAACAAAAACTCAGATCACATAAGCAAGAGATTATTCACAGTGACTGTAGGCGAGTTTGTTCTCTGCAGATCCTGTCAATTCCATAATGATGCCGCCATTCAAAGACGTATCAACAGTTTGCAAGTAAACCACGCGAGGGCATATAGAGCTATTAGGGGCCAGTTTGGTGAGTGTAGGGAATATGGGTTCTGATAAGAGAAAACTTTTGTGGTTGTGGGTATTTTGTTGAAGCCTAAACATGGTTTGGATTTCATATCTCTCGATAATAAAACCCTCCCAATTCCCAAATAGGGGTGTTTGGTTTCAACCATACCCAATGTCAGATTTTAAAAGCACACATCTTTTCTTCCAGATTGGAAGACTCATATGATATCAACCCTGCTTCATTCACCAAACGGGCCCTAGGTGCTACAAAATTATTTCAGTAATTTCTAGAAGGAAATCAATGTGAAAAAAAACGTACCTGGAAAATTATTTCATCCGGGATATGAGGCAAAACTTCCCTAACAGTTTCAGCCATTGCAATTAGTTGTGCTAAGTTGCCATTTACGGCGCCGTGTGGGGTCCTCAAGCGCAAACTGCTAGCGCTGTCGGGATTAGCAGGTGGGGTGGCTGAAGTGGACGTGGACGTGGACGTGCTAGCCTGGGTGGGGGGATGATGCATAGATAAAAGACTCCAAGCAGCGTCTTCAAGGGCAGTCTGGGCATAGGTTTCTCCCACGGCAGCAAGATGTCTCATCATCATTTGAACTCGGCCTAATCCTCCCAATCTTACACTTGTAGACGGGCCTGCCCCGTCCGAACTCAACCAACTTGAATCCATTCCAGCCCCTCTATGATGAATAATAGAAAACAATGGAAGCAACAAAGTAAATGGCATTACAAACTTTTTTTTATGGTTTTACAGGCTAAAATGGGGAGTTTTGAGTTTTTTCTTGAATAAAGTTGAGGGCTGCTTTAAGAGGAGTATCTTTTTAAATGTCATAAACTCACAAAGAATGGCTTACTTCACTAAGCTTCTTTTTTTTTTGGTAAACAAAAGGAATGCTGACTTTTTATAAAAAGGATATAAATAAAGTAATAAACCACATAAAGGAAGGAGAGTAACGGAACCTCCAATCACGGTTTTCCAAAGTGTTCTCCGGATGATTTTGGAAAACTTCAGTAGGAAGGGGAGGACCAGGAAGGTTTGGCCGATCAAGTACCCGACTCATTTGGCGTGCAAGCTGTTCATCTCCAGAAACTTGAGCAGTTTGGCTGTTCACTTCACTCCCATTTCTGCCCACAAAAAGTGGCTTGCGGCAAGTAGGGCAGGAATAATTCTCAGTTAAACCTTGATCTAACCTGATTTTGATGAAAAAATCAATTCTAAAAAGACCTTTACTCTACAATCTCTATTGCTAAGAAGGAAATATCCAAAGAAATTGGGCACACATTGGGGGACTAGGTGGGCAAACAGAAAAATGAAATCCCAAAAAGAAGCATGTAACCTACCAAGATCTCAAACATGCAAGATGGAAGAGATGATTGCAAGAGAGCTTCTTAGCCTTCGCCATTGGTTCCTGCCAGCATCTAAAAGTATGAAACATAGAAATGAAGACACACCCACTCACCTACCCATCAAAATCCCCAAACCAAAAAAAGAGAAAAAGGGCGTAGATACCCGGCAAATAGCACATTCATCATCATAAGCCCGGAGCTCTTCAAATGATGCATCTGGAAGTGCACCATGAAGGGTGCCCAATGCTATTCTCAGTTTAACAAAGCCTTTTATGCGTTTCACAATTGCACTCAATAAGGCCTAATACCAACATCAATCAACAATTAGCAGCATAAAAATATTTTCTCAAATAAAAAGCAGAATTGTTAGTCCCTCAAACCCTTCAATTGTATATGTAGTAATCTATGAAATGTGAGATGTCTTTCATTTTTTATTTTGTAAATGTAGTCCCTTGATTGTTATATAAGAGATGCAACTTTGGGTTAAAAATCAATTAACGCTTAGTGATAAGGTCTGCATGGGCATTCTTGGGCCTCTTGGCAATATAAAATGCTGAGAATCCCCCCACCCCCATAATCCCTAATATTGAATGGGGGTGATTTAGACAAGAGTTTTTCTAAGTATACCTAAAGTAAAACAACCGAGAGACTGAATTTACAAGGATTTTACACTTTAGCATAAAAACTCTAATTTCGGAGAAGAACACCAGATAAAATGATGGAAGGTAACATTTACACGAATGTTCAGAAAAAGGATTGCATCCATAAGATGAAACGACATGCCATGGAGCCACCAAATATGCACATAATGCGCAAGGGCCATCAACAATGTCATCATGTCCAGGAAAAAACCTATGTTCCGAATAAGAATGCATTTCCATTCCAAAAATGAACCTGCATTCACAGTGAGAATAATATAACAAAATATGATTTGATTTTATAACAGAAAATTACATGTGATTAGATTTCTTAGTCTTAATAGTTAATAATATAGCCTCTCCATCCCACTGTATATTCTCTCCTTTTCTGTCCGTCCCAAAATATATTACAATTTTCAAGGAAACAAATTTGTGGTTCATACCTTTTCTCTTTCCTCTAATAAACCTCAACCGCGCACCCTTTCAATCTCTACAACTTTGTGCTAATTAAAGTTGGAATTTCCCTACGGGCGGAGAGTTTACTTTAGCATGTCTTTCATTTTCCCCCATATTGTCTTTCATTCTCAATTTTCCTACCTAGTCTTTCCCTATTATTTCCAAGTTTCAAATATTCACTAGACAATATAGCATCACACTGCTTATGGAGGAAACAGAACTTTTATTCGAAAAGTCAAAGACAAGACAAGTCATTGTAGGCTAATACTAATATAATTCAATGTGAAGCAGACACACAATGAAATGTTTTTTTAACATAAATACCTGCAGCAGAAATGTCTAAGAGCTTAGAAGTTTGACTACTTGCAATATCCCCCAAAGATTGATGAATCCATATATCTAGCAGTTGAAACCCATGTACCAGAATAGCCTAGGAAGAATAGTAGCAAATTAAAAACTACTGCAATCATGTGAAAATTATTCCCTCCACATTCCAAACCAGTTTTCTCCACCTTGACTCCATGGAGATAAAGAAAAGTATTGAAAAAGATGTTGAAAGTGAAAAAAGTAGCTAGAATTTGTTTAGAACAGAGAGAAGAAATTTGGACCACATATTCTTTTCAAAAAAGAGAAAGTGAAAATGTGGAAAATTTATTTTGGTAAAGGAAAAAGTTAAGTGGAAAACTGTTGTGGGACGGAGGAAGTATTGCAGAATAAAACATACTCCATACAACTTTTAATCTAAGACTATCAGTTGACTACCTGAAGTGTCTCAAAGGCAATGCTGAGGGGCTCAAAGAATAGCAATAAATATATTGGTGAACTTATGGTGCTGTAGACAGTCAGACACAGCTTTATCCTAGAAAATTTATACAGAAGCCTTTTGTTAAAAAAAAATAAACAAAAAAACACTAACCAAACTCAATATAATCCACCAAGACGATGAAGATGTGTCCCAGCCAACTGAAAGGCGAAAGGGAGACTATTATTGCTTAGCTTCTCACATCGCTTGGCTATAAATACAATATAGAATGAAATAAGGAAGCACCAGAACATGTCCAAGGAGAAAACCAGCAAAAGCATAGAATAAACACGAAAATAGGCCCGTGGTGTAGCAGTAGGAGAAGCATTTAAGCGTTCCAGGCGATCCCTGGCTAAAGCTTGAAACATCTGTACAATAATACAAATAATAACAGACATTGATCCATATACTAGTAAAAATCAAGGAGTTCAAGCATATGAATATATAGTAATCTACCTTTAAAGAACAAAGGACCACCAGCCATGTTGACCATAGGCCTGCTTGAAAAACTGTTGATGGAATTACCAGTGGAAGAAAAGGTCCCTACAAGCGAAACGAACATATATTGAAGGTCCCTTTGGAACCCAAAACATAGAAGGGAAGTATGAAAGAAGAAAATGAATATTGAGGGAAAAATAGTTCAGACTGAATGCAAACGTTTTAAATAAAGAAGAAATCTAAACATATGCAAGATTTTAAAAAACATCATTGTTTTTCATTTTCCTTTGAATTTTCTGAGGTAAAACCAAATGCAAGGAAACTACTTCCCTTAGCAAATCTTTGCTTAGCCTTTTCCTTGATCCAAATGTCCAAACATACCATTTTTTCCTTAGGATGTTTCCTTTCCCTACCATTTTCCTTATTCCAAGTATAGCTTAAAGATAAAATGGCATCTTCCAATTGAATGATTAGATAATGATATCTATGGTACCTTGTAGATGATATAGTTGATGAGGCGTTCAGCCAATTTCCTACTTTCAGATGAGTGTAGTTCTCCAAAGAATATAGTCTGTGAATACATATAACAAATTCCCTCAAAAAAATAAAAAGAAGCCATAAATATGCACAATAGATATAAGATGTGAGAGAATGACCTTAAGACACAAAATGAGTAAAATGAAAGTGTTAATGACAAAATTGGCAACCAACGCAATTGTGGTGTACGAATCCAGAACAGCCTCAAGTGCCTGACTTGCATTCCGTGTGTTGATACTCACAACAGTGGGCCCATCGGAATTTACTTTACCAAGTGACCATCCTATCCAACATTGAAGCCCAATGAAGCTTAGAACAGTGAAGACTGTTGAAACTGAAATGTAGCGCACTCCCATGGGAGACTAAGATGGTTCTTCCACAGCCAAAAATTTCCACTATTATTTTGTATTCTGATGCTTGACTCAAAAACTGTCTGAAACTGATATAGAGCAAGAGTTCCAGTCTTTTGCTTCCATCTACTATTTGAAATTCTATTGGATCTGATCAACCTACTTAGAAAAGGAAATAACATCATCTTACAAATGGATAATGTTCAATTTCATAAGTCCATAGAACCTGCTGCTGTATCTGAATTAGACTTTGGTTCAAAAGAGGGAAGAGGATGATAGAGAGAGAGAGAACGGGGAGGGAGAAGCTTGAGGTGTATAAAAAAATATGTTTGGTTCAATGGATGAGTGGGGAATTATAAAATACCCTAAATTGGGGAAGTGAGATATGAGAGGTGGGAAGGAGTCAATAGCTCTTCCACTTTCCTCTTCAAGCAAAACACACAACACTCCATTTTCCCTCCCCTCCCCTCTGGGAAGGGCTATTATAACTTATTTTTCTTGCACATAGATATTAATGGTCAAGTAGTAGTGGGTTGCTGCTACCTAGCAAGCACATGTCATCTTTCTTCCTACCCTATAAGAAACAACAAAAATCCTATCCCAGAATCTAAATTATGCTCAAGAATCAAGACTAGATTTCAACTACCAATCCAGCATAATGATGATCACCACTCACCAGTAAAAATAAACTACATCATCAATCAACATAAAAAGGGGAAACCAAAACCGATTGCCATAGTGAAGTGTTATACAGATACCCACAATCTAGAAATTGAACAGGAGAAAAAAATTTAAACCCCCCTAAACCCAAAAACAAAACAGGAGAAAAAATTTAACAAATCTGGATATACCCTAGGAGGTCCAGAGAAACTACCTACAAGAACAATACAGGCAACAAAAGTCGAGAAGACAAACATTTGAACAATCATATGCATAAGAAAAATAGTTGAATTCGATATATAATAGAATTTTGATTGATGCGAAATTAATAGAAAAAGGAACATATCGGATATAATCCAATTAGTTCTGAAGGGAAATCAAAATAGAAGAAGTGAGCACCTCCGGTGATCTCTGACGAAGATCCGAGAATTGTCGGCGGTCACATTCCGCGATCTATACAGACCTTTCTGAGCCTCATCAGAGATGAGAAAAGGGGAGAGAGAAATTGCAGGAAGAAAGAAAGAAGGAAAGGGTCAGTTTTTGCGGGAAGAGACGTGAAATGGATATTCTTTGTAAAAGGCTCGTTTGAAACAACTTTTCTTACCATTTTAAATGCTAGTATTGATTTTTCAATTTTACCGATTATTAAATTTTAAAATGATAAAATTTTAGTATTGTTACTATCTCAGTCTTGAATTTAAGTATTTGTTTTGATTTATGATATTTTATAAAATGTCATTTTAATTACAGTAATTTATTTGAAGATTGAGATGGAATTAAAAAATATGGAGTAAAATTTATTACCTTCGAACCATAAAACTTTTTCACTCAGAAAATTGTGAAATTTAATAAATGTGTAATTTTAGCATTACTTTCCCATTTTCCCCTTACTTTATACTCCTTCCGTCCCGCAAAAAAATCCTATTTTCCTTTTTCATCCGTCCCAAAAAACATTTTTCTTTTCCTTTTAAAAAGTCATTTTTACCCATATTAATTCTTAACATACCTATCATGTACATCACATTTTTTCTCCATTAATCTGTCCATCTCATCCTACTTTATCCATCACATTAAAGGGCATTTCTGGAAAGCCAACACCAAAATATACTCCCTTAAATCCTCAAAAAGTCAGAACGAAAACTTTTTTAAGAGACGGATAGAGTACTAAAGTGAGATAAGATATGATGAGTAAATTAGTACGGAGTAATAAATATACGGAGTGTATGATATGATACGTAGACAAAATTATGAACCACAAAAAGGGAAAGAAGACTATACTTTGGGACACCTAAAGTAGAAAATTTAGGACTATTAATTTGAGACAAATTATAGAGTAATAGACTTATCTTATGAAACATTTTCCAAATATTTTTTATATACTCATAACTAATACTCCATATGTTTCACAAAACAATATCACGTTTACTTTTTATTTGTCCTATAAAAATTTTCATATTCCATTGAACAGTCTATTTTAATCATTAATAATTCATATATCACATCAAACAACTGAGAAAAGATTTAAAAAATTAATTACAAAATATACACTTCTTAATTTTTTTTAAAGTAAAAAACGAAACTCTTTTTTGAAACGCGGGGAATATATCATTTCCTAGTATTTATTGAATTATTGGTCAAATTAAATATTAATTCTCGTTGACTATAGAAAAAAATAAAACTAAACAAATATTTCGGGAAAGAGGATGTATATTGTAAGAGGGAGAAAGAGTCCCTTTGGCAACATGTTAGAGCTAATATTTTAAAAAGAATATCTAACGACAACGTTTAGATTTAAATTTTTGAAAATTTATCTATGTAATTCTACCTATGTCTCTTACCATTTGTTTGATTTTGACTTTTTGCAATTATAATTAATAGTTTTAACTATTAATTATATAAAAATTATAGTTGAAATTGTTACAAGAAGAATTTTATTAGATTCATCTTGTAAAATATTTTCAAAATGTTATTTTATCGAAGTAAAATACTTTCTAATTTGTCTTTAAGTATATGTAATAAAAGATCGTTATTATTGAATGTAAAAAATCAAAACTGAATAAATAATCAGAGACACATATAAGAGACACATGTGGTATAAACCGGTGTTACTCAAGTATTGAAAACATTAACTGAAAACTTAAATTTCTAAATAAGGTCAGAGGATGACTATATTTTAAAGTTACTATACGACTCTGCTGTTATTAATGTTTCATATGGAGTATTTTTTTAAATCACAATGTTTAATTACTTTGATACGAAGTACATTAAAAATATACCGACCATTCCAGTCATAAATCAACTTGCTAGGCCCTCCACTAAAATATTCTTGCTAGATTTTAATTTAGTTCATTAATTACTTGCTAGCTGTATGTATTTAATCAACAAATATTGTAATTTGTTTGGTTTAGGTTGGTGAATCAGACGAGATAGATTCCTTACCATTTTTATTTCACTCACTTTTTTAAAAAAATTATTATCTGCATGCTGCAGATCCAATTAACCAAATCCCATCCAACAAATAGAATTTTCATCTTTCCGATAACCCAAATTAAAATTCAGAAAACAAGATTAGAGGAAATATTGATCGCAGGAATTCATGACCTGAGATTCATTCATTCATAGCGTAAAGCAAAAGCTACAATCATGGCAGAACTTTCAGTGAACATTTCCAAACACTGATCCATAGATCTTCTATCTAGCTTGATGGAGTTATTATTCACATTTCAGATAAGAGATTAGATAATAACGAAGACGATGATAATAACGGAGAAAAGCTACTGGACATCAACATGGACGACGTCACCCCTTTCCTCATCTTTCACCTTGGGAACCACCACCTTCAGCACACCATTTTTCATCTCAGCTTTGATCTCCTTCAGCTTGTACGCCTTCTTGCTCTTTGCAGGCAGATCCACCTTCACCGGCAGCAGCGCCTTAAGCTTCATCATCTCACCATCTTCGTCGACGTCAGATTCCTTCGCCTTGGCGGCACCTCCGCCGCTGACCACAAGCGTGCTGCGCTCCACCCTCACCTTGACGTCGTCCTTGCCCAGCCCCGGCATCTCGAACCTCAGATAAACCCCGTCCGCCTTGTCCATGACGCTGTAGTTTGCCGCGCGAGACGTCAGCGAGCCCTTCGCAGCCGGAGAATCCTTCATCTCCATCGCCTCCATGAAGCTTCTCCCAGACATTGGAAGAAACGCATCTGCGCACATGACATGAGATCGATCGATAAAACTTGAAATTCAAAAATACAGACAGTACAACACCTAAAATTAGGGCAGAAAACGAGATCGATCTCAGATCTGGAGGAAATGTGAACAACAAGTCAATCTCATACCGCTGGAGAATGGAGCGATCAAGCAGCTGACGAACGGAGAGCGGCGGCCGGAGCGGGGATCAACGCCGTAGGAAGCTCCGAAGTCCTCGTCATCAGAGCAATCGGAGTCAGTGAAAGCGGCGGCGCTGGTGTTGAAGAGGCGAGGCGCGCCGGAGGAGAGGCGAGCGGAGCGAAGAGCTCGGTTGAGGAGTTTGGAGGAGGTGGAGAGGGGATTTTTGAGCAGGACTTTAGAGGGAGCCGCCATTGTAGCTTGCTCGGAAAGCTTAGGGTTTTTGTGGGGGTGAAGAATATGAACGACGGCGTAACTACAGAGCGAAATCCTCTGCGGATTATCCGGCTCACACTTCACTTATATAGCGGGAGGAGGTCCGGAATGGATACCAGAACGAAGCTGGCAGGTAGGGTTTTGGAAGCTTCTAGAGCGATGAGGTGTCCCTCCACTGCACGTACGGACACCACCGCCTTTGAGCTGATTATTGGGCCGTTTGGTATCCGTTTTGGGCCAACCCGTGAGTACATGTAGAACCGGCCTCATCATTCGAGGACAATATGCTCGCGTGACGTTTATCTTGTTTTATTATTTTTGGGTGACATTTTTTTCGAAGAAAGATTCAAAAAACTACTCTAAGGTTTGATTTGGCACCCAAAAATAGAATAGAATTGCAATTAAAATTTTTTAGAATTGAATTGAATGGACTTAAATCCTATTTCAATTCCAAATTTTTTGTGAATTCAATTTCAAATTCCTTTTCTCTGTTATGAAATTTAAAATATGGAATTTGAAAAATTGTAATTAAAATTCGACTCCAAATCTATATATTTTGTACTACCAAATACCAATCACAAATGGATAATTGAAGTCTCCAGCTCTAATTTAATAGCATAAATTCCGTGTATTGAATGGGGCATGAGAAATTTACTAATTTAAATCATTGTTTCAAAATTTAATAAATGATGTTTTTGAAACATTTAGGAATTTATACCATCTACTATATATATAAAAGCTGATGGAAAATTGAATCCAATTTTTGCTCTAATCCTACGGTCCAATTTCATTTCCAATAGATAAATCTGGCCGTCAATTTGAAAGGGATGTTGATGGCGATTCTTTTACGAAGGACAGTTTCAATGCGCCGCTCCCAACATCTCTCTTCATTCTCCTTTCTAAACACCCTTGAAGATCTGCTGCAACCCACCGTTCGGCCTCCACCTCTTTCTCTCCCTCTTCATTACTCTAATCGGACGGTCCAATTTCAATTGCAATTGTAAAAATCTGGCCGTCAATTGTACCTGCCAAGCGCTCACAAAACCAGGCATCCGATCCTGGAAAAGCAAGAACTCTCTAGCAGTTTATTACCATGCCCCTTCCCCCGACGAAGAATGAAGCACGAGGATCTAGACAACGTAGAGATGGAGAAATTGGAATCCACACACAGGGATTGAACTATTCAACTTGTGGTATTTTTCAATTTTGCTTTCCTTTACTACACCCTGGTTTTTTTTCTTATTGGAAGAAGCATGTCTAGGTTTTTTTACAATTTTCTGTAAAAATGATGTTTTGTTGTGCTCTTTTCCTCTCCCATTTCTTTCCCTGTTCGAATCCTGTTGGTAGATGTAGTTCTTTATGGCTTGCTGAAATTAAAATTAAATGCACACAATGTGTTTGATGAATTGTTTATCCAATATAGGATAAATTTTCTAACAAGTACTGCTTAAACTTTTCTTAGTTTTAGCATAGATTTTTTTTGTATATGATAGAGTGGAGACTATGAGAGTAGAGTTACCTTTAAGGAATACTAAAAATTAAGAATGTTTGGTTGAAGGGGAGTGGGAGGTAAGTGAGGAGGATGGAAGAAAGTTGGAAGAAAATTGATGAATTTCCTTTATTTAGTTGGAGGAAAATAAGGAATGAAATAAGAATTAATTGGGAAGGAAACTGGAATCAAGTAAAAAAATTATTTTCCTCACTGATGGAGTGAAATGGAATGGGAGTTTAATTTCCATTACAATCCCTTCCTAACAAACAAACCAAGGGGATTCAAATTTTCACTCCTCTCTTTCCTCTCAATGACCTGATACATTTCTCTAGCACATTGTGTTCTATCTTGAATACCTGAGCCTTGAATAATTGAGCCAAAAAATAGTTGCAAGGTGAGGAATTCATCTCATCAATTACAAAGAGTTAGTTAAGTTAGGACATCAATTCCAAATAAGCAGGGTGTATCCTTAAAAGATGTATTGGGAGTCTGGCTTTTCAACTCCTGTCCACTAACCTTCAATTGATTTTGAACCTAGCTTCTTGAATAGGGTAATCTAGAACTAAATATTGGATGAAATTTTCCAGGCATCTCATAATGGCTGTAATATTTGTTTGAACTTCAGGTTTAATAGCAAACCCTCTTTGGGTTGCTTCAGTAGAAAGGAAGGATTTGACTAATAAATTGAGCATATAAAAATTAAAACAAAAAAAACTTATGTTAACTGGTAGCATGTTTTTCTGGGGGCAAAAAAAGAAAAATGTACTGCTACTTTTATGCCGGCCAATGAAGTTAAAAGAGCCATTTTTGACAATTATTTTGCTTCGGGTTTATAAAAATGGAACATTAAACCCCCATACATTCTTGCTTTCAATAAAGTCTAAAGTAGTTCATGTAGCAATAGTGTTGGGATTACATTGTGTATGTTGTTATTGTTCTTGAAAGGCTTCTATAATTACATTGTCATTGTTCTGTAGTAGAACTCTTAATGTAAGATTATACTCCATATCTACACTAAGAGCATCTCCAAGGGGTAGTGGAAAAAATGATAGTGTAAATCTTCTTTTACACTATCAATAGTGTTTTACACTTGCACTTTTTTATACTCACTCCAACCATATCTTTTATATTATACATTTTTATAAAATTTTAATATTCTTTTTCATAGTTTGATCTGTAATTTACGCAAAATCCATAGTTTCAGAGCAAAATAAAATTGCAGTTGGCTACATCATCAAAGAAGAGGAGCAGTAAAGGTGATGGTATAGATCTAAGGTGATGATATAGATCTCTCCAGGAAAAAGCAATTTGATTCATACTTATAAGCAACCCCAGCAAAAAAAATTGTGCAGATTAATAGCAGCGAAGGAGAAAGAGCAACGAAGGAGAAAAAGAATTGGCGATCGGAAAGCTGAGAAAAGAGCAACGAACGAGAGAAACCCAATTTCCACTATCTACAGTACCGTGCATATTTGGAAGATGAGAAATGGAATATACACTACTTTCTATTTAATGCACTACCAGTTGGAGGCGTAACTTTTGTACAGTAAATGTTAAACCTTCTATTTTTAGACTTTACTAATTTTTACATGGCCTGTTGGAGTTGCTCTAAGTGGTCATTTAAAGAGGTTCTATTTGATTATTGCACTTTGATTCCATACTTGATGGTTTCAAAATGCTATATTGCATTTCCTAATTAAAACTCCGCAACATCTTTATGGTTCACATTCCCTTTTTGATTGGTTAACACTGTAAAATTTGCCCGTGAAAGCGAAACTGTGATTACAGGTTTTGCTGATAAGGTGAAGCCTTCTGATATTTCTTGATTTTTGGGGTTTTGTTTCCTGTGCTACAAATTGCACTTTGAATTCTTGTCTAAATTTTCATAATACTCTGCTCATAATATATACTCCCTCCGTCTTGGAATATTCGTCTAAGCACTTTGACTCATCAAATTCTCTCAATGTGTAAGCCTAAATAAAGTCATGTGTGATCTTGTTTGATTTGTTTAACACATAGATTATTAATATATACTCCCTCCATCCCTCATAGATCTTCCCAATAGTCTTTTTTCTTTGTCCACAATAGATCTTCTCATTTCATTTTTTAACAATTAAAATACCACAACTACCCTCACTTTATTTATTACATCTCACCCACCTCATTTAATACACTCCACCCATTTTCATTAAGGGTATTATGGTAATCTTTCACCTTTTTTCAACTCTCCTTAAAAACTACCAAAAGTTAAAATGAGAACATCTTAGGGGGACGGAGGGAGTAATTTTTATAATTTTTTAATAAACAAATTACAAGGATCTATTAGATTAGAAATGTTTCTCTTTATAATGTTACCTGCAGACCATCCGTGTATGGCAAGGATCTGAAGATTGAAGTTATGTTTGTGTAAAGGTACTGAAGGATCATATAGCTGAGGTTGGCTAAATTCCATCCCCACAATGAAATGATGATGAATGTATAATATGTCATCACCGCAACATCATTTAGCAAAACTTCTTTCTTCAAGATATGTTCCTTATTTTATTTTCACATTTCTATTTTTTCTTTTGGTGTTCATTGAAGATTTGAAATACATGCAAGCAAAATCTTATAGAAGTATTCGATTCACATTTTTTAAAATATTATGTGAGATGTATCATAATCCGTTAAAGACATAAATTCAATGAATTATTTTGATTATGCTTGTAGTTAAATTGATATTGATGTTTTTTATGAATTACTCCGTAGATTTGTTTAGATTCCAGAAAGTCTATAGATTGTTTTAAATCTCACAATTGTAAAAAAAGATAATAATTTATTAGTATAAAACTGATAATAATAATTTAAAATATTGAATACATACAGATAAAAGAAAATATTGAAGTCAAAATGAAGCATGTAGACGTGTTGAACACATCTCAATGGATGATGGAGCAACCCGACTTTGGTCGAATTTTTAATAATAAAAAAATGCAACCAAAGTTATGATCCTCCAACGAACACATATAAAATCAATTTTATCCAATGAGCAATTATAAAATCAATTTCATTAAAAATTGATGTACAAATAAAAATTATAAATTACATTGCTTGAAATATATAAAAAATTCTTGGAAGCAAAAATGATTCATGAAAGAAAATGCATGATAAACTGTTTTGATCCCACGAAAATCATTAACTTCTTTGGATATGAGATAACCAATTAAGTTTCAAAGAAGACCATTTCCGGATATGGTACCATATGCGATGATAAAAAACAAAAATCGAAACAATCTCTCTCATGTTGGCATGTTCTTGAAAAAACCAGTTTTCAATCACGACCAACTGTATGTAACAATGTCTAGGGTACGTTTTTGCACAAGTTTAAAAATAATGATATGTAATTCTGATAATGCTCTAACTAACACTACATCAAATGTACTTCCTCCGTCCCCCTAAGATGTTCTCATTTTGACTTTTGGTGGTTTTTAAGGAGAGTTGAAAAAAGGTGAAAGTTTACCATAATACCCTTAATGAAAAATGGGTGGAGTGTATTAAATGAGGTGGGTGAGGTGTAATAAATAAAGTAAGTGGGGGTAATTGTGGTATTTTAATTGTTAAAAAATGAAATGAGAAGATCTATTGTGGACAAGAAAAAAGGGCTATTGGGAAGATCTATGGGGGACGGAAGGAGTACTTTATAAGGGGATATTTGAGAATGTTTGATTGGTCTTAATGTCCATAGTGTAGTGTCTTTCATTCTTATATTATCTAATTGTCCTTCATTCTCATATTATCTATTGAACGCTCTCTCTTTTATGTTTTGTATGTCTATTTAAAATTAAATAAATAATAATATTTATAAATTGAAGTACGTTCATATCTACTATTTATAAACTAATACCCAATAATTTAAAATATAAAATGTTTTTCATAATTTCTTGCCGTGCATCGCACGGGTGATGCACTAGTTCTTCTAGTGGTCCGAGTGGCTATTCTTGCTTCGGTTATTTAAAACGTTTGAAAATTTTCAATATGTAATACTTATGATAAGAATATGAGTGACATCATGTACAAGATGTGTTATAATGCACTAGTTTATTTTTCACCACTTTCTGCAGATACTATTCTTTTAAATTGCGGAAACACTCTTTTTTTCAGTAGTTTAGCTATATTAGCGACGAGGATATTAAAAATGAATCTAGAATTATTTAAATTGTTCACCTCTTTTTTTCATTTCTATGCGAGTAAAGTATGACTGAGATTAAATTGAAATATTGCCCCATTTATGTCTACTAGTGCAAAATGCAAACTGATTTTACGTGTATCACCAGCTAATCTGAAAACACCTTTGCGAGTAAAGTGCCGGGATGGTGACATTTTGAAAAATATTTGAATAGCTAAATATTACGGAGTATTTGGAAAGAAATACTCCATCAGTCCCAAATTAAATTGCATGTTTTTTCTATTCACGAAGTCAAACTTCATTCACTTTCTTTTTATATAAAATGATTTGAAAATAATTTTAATCAAACATTGTAAACTAAAATAGATGATTTAAATGGGACAGAGCGAGTATTGTCTTGAGGGGGTTTTAAAAACATAATGAAATATAAAGGTGTTTTCATAAAATAAATAAAAGAAGGGCTATATTTTAAAAGATTGGTTCTTTTAAAATAAGAAAGAAAATATTTAACTATAACTAAAATATGCTCCATATAAAAAAAATAAGAATTTCAATGTTTTTATACAAAAGTATCAAAATAAAAAAACAATTAATGTCAACAAATATTATGAAATATCAATACACAATATTAAAGTGTGACATTTCAAAATGTCACTATTTTTATTTAAGAGATAAAAACATATGATGTTTTATTTTGATATAAATGTCATGTTTTAGTCTTATTTAACTTAATTTTTTAAAACAAATTAGTAAGGAAATGATATAATTGTTGAGCTTACTAGACTAGATATTAAAACAACAAAACCCATTACAATCTCACAAAATTTAAGAGGGTATAAGGAAAATGAGTGTACCCACACTTTACTCCTAAGGACTATTTCCAAGAGACTCCCGAACTCAATCAAAAAAGTACAAATTATACTCAGCTTAATAAACACAATAGCTTGAATAAAATAATAGCAATAAGTCAAGAAGCACACATATTGACATATTGTCACTAGCAAGTAAACTCAAAGCACAAAAACCACGCATGCACAAGCTATATGCCAGGTAACAATACAGTAGCAAAAATTTTAGACTAAAGTTTAAATAATGTCTACCCAATTCAATTACTCTAGTACTAGACTAGATAATGTTTGAAAAACATCATGTTAAAACAAAATTGATCTTTGCAGATGAGTAGAGCTAAGGTCTTCTAAGGGGAAGGGTCATCTCTTTTTCACTCCTTGATCATAACCTTCCCAGGATATATCCCATTAAAATGCCAATCAAACCTATAAGCATGTAATAGAGAGTGGGAAATTTGGCGCGCTTTTCTGGACCTCTTCGCCTCAAGAACTCCTGCATATAATCATATAAAAGGATCTGAATAATGTCTTCGAGCACGCTAAACAATGAGTGTATTTGGTTTGCATTTGTGGGAGAATTTTGCTCATTTTAGAATAACAACAAACAACACTTTCTGTGTCTATTTGGTTTGTATTTTGACCAAAATGATACTCCCTCCGTTCCACAAAACCCTTCCTCCTTCGTTTTTTTTGTTTTTCACAAAACACTTCCACTTTCTATTAAAAAACCACTTTTACCCCTACTTTTTCATACCCTACCTATCACATCATACTTTTTCACTAATAACCAAACTATCACATCTTAATTTTTCCCATCACATCAGGGGCAAAATTGGAAAGTCAACCAAAATTACACTTTCCTTATTTTTCCCCAAAGTCAAAACCGGATGGGTTTTGTGGAACGGAGGGAGTATTACTTTATTCCAATTTCCGAAATAAACTGTCCCACTAAATCTGGGAAACGCAGAGTAAGAACATAAGGGAAGGGTCATAGAGAACTCTATGTGCAAAACTCTATGAATAGAAACATTGTATATGAACAAAAAATCAATACTTTTATTATCACTTGATGGTCTCACATAAGCAAATATGCATGTTTGTGATAGTAAACAATAACAAAACGCAAAACCCAATATACTCTCAACTCCATCAGTCCATTGGGTTAAGATTGTTAGGATCAAGATGAAGAAGAAAATGAAGAAATCAAGATCAAAATTACAGAGAAAGAAAACATAGAAGATACATGGTAAATGGATGACAATATACACGGCGGTATAGTGCTATATAATGATGATTAACAAACATTAAATATTACCCCGGAGCACTTCAAACACCATAACCCAAGAAAGATGCACACCACATTACAGGTATAAAAACAGAGAGGTCGCTTCTGTGTAAGACCATTGTACAAAAAGAAAAAAGGAATAGCAAGATGCATGTGACATACCAACTCTCGACGAAGTTTGCCATTTTGTTGAATAATGGCATCTCGCTCCTCAATTAACTTCAAAATTTGAACCCTAGGCTGATTTAATCACATTTTATACCAAAAAAGGGGAAAGTGTAAGTTAGGAAAATAGTCGGCGAAAACAAAAAAACAAAAAGAGGTCAAATTCTGTAGCATGTATCATGCGACATGATGAAGCAGAAAGAGAAGCTCACTGCAGTGTTTTCATTATGAGACAACTTTTCAGGTTCAGAAGTGATGGGTGAATTTAATTCTTCAGGCTCTTCCGGGACCGGAGATGGTGGCCTTGGGGGAGAAACATAAACAACTGTCAATTTGCTTTCTTGGACGTACTTTCCCTTCTCCTTATGAAACTGCAAACGAAATATAAAATGGTGAATTCCAAACTATTTTAACTTGTTTCATTAAATTCTTCTAAGCTTATTTTCATTTCAATTAAACAGTTTTCAATAAGCAATTGAAACTAAATTATTCAACATTCAATTCAATACAGATCAATAATTTCCAGTTCCATCAAATTAACTCTGTAAAATTTCAGTTGAAAAGAATAGACCCACTATAGGAGAGCAAACTAGGAGCTTGTTTGGTGAGAGTCGTTTTGGTTGAAATGAGAGGAAAAGCATTTGATAAAATCCATTTCAACTAGATAATGCTGCTTATTGGGCTTAGAACCTAGATAAAGCAACCAAACAGTGCCTATATTTGCGGAGAGGTCTCTACCATTTCTTGGGAGATATCTTTAGTTGTAGCACCCGGGTGAGTAAACACACACTGTACAAGAAACTTGTCCTTGCACTGCATATCCATAGGTGTCTCACTTTGAGCTTGCATTGTAACTAGAACCAAACATTCACAAAATCAATCAAGAGCATATCCAAACAGAAAATCTGTACAAAAAAACAGTTAGGGGTCCACTTTGTAACCATAACCATCTTACCAGAAGTAAAAGCAAATTAAGGCTATGGTTGTCAATTGTCATGCAATATGGGTAGCTGATTTGACCAAAATAAACTTATTTGAGCAAAAAATCAGTTCTGAATTAAATAAAGGCGGTTGGTAAATTAAATTACAGCTATCTCAAACTTGATAAGTTGCTCTAGGTGAATGAAGAAATATTTCATCTCAGTTTCCATCCTCTATTCCAGTTGTCAAGGAACCAACTTAACCAAAAGCTCAAACTTTTGACTGTTGGCCCCAAAAAAGTTTATACTCTAACACAATAATTTTTTTTCTAGAGCCTTGCCATGATTATTAATTTTTTTAAAATTGTGTCAGTGAGTTTCCAACTCGTGAATTCTAGGCAAACAAACTTTTGATATAATGTCAAAGAACCAAAAAACTTCAAGAAAAAATTTATACTCTAATACCAGTCTACCACACACTACGAGTTTAATCACAGCTTTTAGGAATCAGTCATCTTTTCATTTTTCCAAACACAACCTAAGTAGTTTCTTGCCTTGCTTTTGAAATACTCCCCTTTTATTTGACTAAAATGGTTAGAGAGGTTCCCACATCAGTTGAATTAAACTAAGTAATCGATTAGATTCAATCTTTTAATGGTTAGAGAGGTTCCATCCTAAATTCTATCAAAAACATATTGTACCAAACACTTTTATTTTCAAAAATATGAGGCTATTCACTGATTTCATTTCAGGCAAACAATCCTTACAAGTTACCACAAAACAGCCAATCCGCTTATGAACAAATCACCTGTAACATTACACCTCGATCTAGGAAGGACGATGCCATTGTTGGGCCGAACTGTATACTTCCTCGGATTCGTCGTCTTAACCTATTTAATCATACAAACCAGCTCATTAACACTCCATTTTCGGAGAAATTTGAAAACGAAATTCGCAGATCACGGAGAAACATACGAACCTTGAATGCGGCGTGATTGTCCGTTCTGTTGAGCAGCTCAAAGGAGCACGAGATTGGTTTCCTAAGCTCGACTGATTCAAAGAGATTGTATGCAGAGGAGGAACTGAATCAATAAACCTAACCAGCAGCTTCTGGGTTTCGAAAAATTGAATGAAATTTTAGGGGGGAAAATGAACGAACTTACATGGAAACTTGAGCTCGAAGTGATCGATGATCAATACCTCGTTTTCAGAGTTCATCATAAACTATACGACTCCACACAAGTGGATGAATAATGAATAAATTAATGAGGGAATTCGTTATAGCAGAAGATAGATTTATAAAGTCCCAATGCCTACTAAAAACTAAAGTCTAAAGAAGAGCCTCAAAAGATACGAAATTATTATTTGTATAATTAAATTTTATTTTATAATGGTTCCAAAAAAAAATTATTTTATAATTGTTTAAAATGATTTTATTCTCTTTGTAGGATGCATAAACAATAAGATGGTGAATTTGCCAAAGATCTATGGCTCTCCCAAATAAGAAATCATGTGTTCGATCTCAGTGCGAACAATAACTCTACAAGTCTAAAAAGATTAAAAATATATGAGCAAATATTGTATTATAATAAAGTTATTACTTATTAGTGTTCAAAAAAATAAGATGGTGAATTTTTTATAATATAGAGCATTGTTTAAATAAGTCAACTTTTTATTACTCTAGAAAGTATTGAGACTTCGAAAAATGTTGAAGTCACAAATATAAAGATCATAAAATACACTATCTTATTAAAAATTAAATCAAATATTGTGCTCCGTATAAAATAAAACATAGTGTGACTATGTAATCTTATATAATGATTGATGAAAGTAAATAAAGAAAAAAAATTCATCCATAAAATGTTGGTGTCTTTTTTAGAGATACTTTAGTTTTGTGACTTACTACCTCCGTCCCAGAGTATTTGTCAACTTTCATTTTTACATACCATCCAATACACTTCTTTAATCCATTTTATCTTGTAATTTGTATATTAAAAAATTAAAGAAATTACATATTAATAATCTATATGTTAAGACAAATCAAACAAGATCACACATGACTATATTTAGGCTTACACATTGAGAGAATTTGATGAGTCAAAGTGCTTAGATGAACAGTTCAAAAAGTCAAAACTGGACGAATACTCCGGGACGGAGGGAGTATAAAGTATTTTTATTGTGTCGGTATTATAGTGCAATTGTTTTTCTAAAGTGAAATGCTACGAGGCCTCACCGTCTCATTTTTTTGTTAAGATTATACAATAATTTTTGTATACATTATCGTTTTGATGAAATATTAAGGATGGTGGGGTTGAAGAGTTAGTTTATGAGTGGGTTAGAGCGATAGATATTGATTTGGGATCCAATCGAGAATAATGTACGACACATTTGAAATAAAATCATGTGTTATGAGGCACGATCTCAACTCAACCACCAGGCATCACAGTACCCCATCAGTCCCCCAACCTCATGACACACTTAGCGGGACCGGGGTGCGATGCATCGTGTGCAATGGCTATCATAGGCGCTCTGACCATGCATTCCATGAATACTATGTTTGGTCCTAATCTTTTGAACCACATTAAAGAATTTGGTTGTGGTGCCTTTGGAGGAGCAACGTTTGGATGAGAAAGACGTGTTTTGGGATATTGTGGATAATTGAAAGCCTCCAGCTGTGGGAAGAACTAAAGTTGTGGTAAATGACGTCACACTAGCTCCTAGGAAGCTAATAAAAGAGTAGAGATCTTAGAGCATGTCTAACCAGCCGCAAATGCATGCAGAGCCATGCCATCACAAGCATAGACTTTGGCTTTAGGTCTTTGTATTTGTATATTTGTGTTTTTTGATGTAATTGTTTAGCGGTCTATAATTTAATAAGGTATGTCTTAATACTTTGTACTTGTACAATGTATAAACTTAAAATTTCTAATGCTATTATTCGCAATTCACCCAAAAAAACATAGTACGTTTGATATATAGCCTCAACGGCTATAACAATATATTTTTTAAAAATATTTTGTTCAAGGCTTCAAGCCATCAAATCCCACCCTAACACACTAATGACTATACTAACCTTTATCAAGTTAATATCCTATATTGGGTTAAGCCCGGATCTAAAGCAGTAAAATCAGACAAGCGGGCTCACGGCCCACACTGAGCCTTCTGGATCGTCACACCGGAGTGGACTCCCCGGAAAGCAACGGCTTGGTTTAACGGACATCGGGAAATATCTTGAGCGACGACACTGAGGTAACTGAACAGTTTGACGATTTAATTCGGCCGTCGAATCCGGCCGTGATCCGGCGGCGAAGATGATGGTGGATATGAGCTCCTTCTCCGACGAGAGGTTCGATCCCAAGCAATGGATAAACGATGCGTGCCAGTCGCGGCACCCGCAGGACCCGCTAGACAAGCACCTGGTGGATCTGGAAATGAAGCTCCAGATGGCCTCCGAGGAGATCTCCGTCACGCTCGAGGAGCTCAGCAATTCTGCTCTTCACCGCGTCCCTCGTGCCACTCGTGACGTTATCCGCCTCCGCGATGACGCCATCTCCCTCCGCTCTTCTGTCGCTTCCATCCTCCAAAAACTCAGAAAGGTAGCTCGTTCTTCCTTGTGTCTTCTACTCCGGTAATTGTTATCGTTTTAGTTTCATGAGTGAAAACTTTGCTTTGTTATGCTAATTTTTAGAATTACCTTGAAATTCGTGACTTTCAAGACGGTGCATTTGCCATATATTTCCAATATTGTTGTGCATTTTACATGGCATTCATTTACATGTTTTATGCTTTTCTTTCGAACTTTGTTTCCCAATATTGAATCACTTATCTTCCCATTGTTTTCATAGGCAGAGGGATCATCTGCAGAGTCCATATCTACACTGGCAAAAGTTGATACTGTCAAGAGAAGAATGGAAGCTGCTTATGAGACATTGCAGGTGCCACAATTTTCATTCAATCCTTTTCCCTTTGTAATAATAATTGAGTACTCGGCTCCATTATTTTGACAACAAGTCTTGTTGTCATAATATGACAACAAGGGCTACGGTGCCCCATTCAAAAATTATAGTTCCTACTCCTAACCCCTCTAAACCCCCCAGCACCACCTGCCCCCTCCTCAAAATGCCCATTGGCAACAGTTTTACTGTTGCCAATTGGCGTTTTGTGGAGGGGGCGCTGTGGTTGTGTGCAAGGGGCATGGGTTTGGGGGGGGGGGGTAGAAGGTAGGAACCATCAATTTTCAAACGGAGCATCGTAGATACCGTTGTCATATTATGACATTAATAGTTGTTGTGTAAAGAACCAGGGCGTTGAGTACATTAACTAGTTCCATGTATAATTTACCTCAAAAAAATTGCAGCTTGTTATTACACTTATTTGACTTTCTTCACGAATCATGATGTTGCACTCACTAAATCCTCCTATATGCTTATTGATAGGATGCTGCTGGTTTGACTCAATTAAGCTCAACTGTGGAGGATGTATTCTCAAGTGGTGATCTTCCACGAGCTGCAGAAACTCTGGCAAACATGAGACACTGCTTGTCTGCCATTGGCGAGGTACTCTTTCCATTTGTTGTTTTTTTGTGCGTCTTAACATGTTTAGTAGGCCTCAAATGCTTTAGCAAATATTCTGCAATTTTCAGGTTGCCGAATTTGCTAATATTAGGAAGCAACTTGAAGTTCTAGAAGATAGGCTGGAATTGATGGTGCAACCTCACTTGACCGATGCATTAATCAAGAGGAAGGTTACTAAACTTTAACATTTCCCCTTCTCTTTTAGCAGATCATTCACTCCCTATTCATTAGTATGCTCTTAACTCCTTAGCCACTGTAGGAAATGAGTTAAATGAACATATATGTTTATAGGTTGATGTTGCCCAAGAAATGAGGGGAATTCTAAACAGAATTGGGAGATTCAAGTCATTAGAATTGCAATACTCAAAGGTCCACCTCAAGCCTATCAAACAGCTATGGGAAGATTTTGAGTTGAGACAACAAGCAAATAAGGTTTCAATTGAGAAAAATGAGATAGAAAGGCCCCCAAGTGCTCAGAATCTTCAATTGAATTCATCTACTACCTTTTCACGTTGGCTGCCCAATTTTTATGATGAATTTCTGCTATATCTTGAACAAGAATGGAAATGGTATGATTTAAATTTATTTTAGCAACCTTTTGGATTTGTAGGCGGCCAATCAAATTTGTTTTGTGTTAAGTGTAGTTTATTTTAAGGTAGATTGCAGTTTAATGCAAAGTAAAACTGGTGCCTTTTTTCTTTTCCTTTTCTATAGGTGCATGCTTGCTTTTCCAGAAGAGTATAAAACCCTTGTTCCAAATTTACTAATCGAGGCGATGTCAATCATTGGTGCAAGTTTTGTATCATCTGTGAACTTGGCTGTTGGAGAGGCTGCCCCCGAGACTAGAACACTGGCCAAAGGTTGATTGTAGAACTCTTTTAGACTTAAGAGTTATTAGTATTTCATATCGACATACGTGGGTCAATATGCCAGCATTCCTTTCTCTATCATATCTTATATACTCTTTTTAGCCTGGAGTCCTAGGTAGTACTGTCAGAATTTTTAATTGGCAAGAGGCCTTTTAAATCATAAATACTACCTCCGTCCAATTAAATCTTCCTAGTTTTACTTTTCCGGAGTTTGAGAAATATGTTGAAAAATGAAAATCTATGTTGTTGGAATTTGTTTAGATGAGAATATCTTTTTGAGCCACATGTTCACTTCTTTAAAAGGAAATAAAGTAAGTACTAATTTTTTTTCGAAAATCCAAAAAGAGATAGTAGGAAGTTTTTTGTGGGATGCACGGAGTAATTGCACAATAATTTTGAATTTAGTTTTATAATGTCATGACACAAGATGGCGTGACTGTGTGAAAGAAAGCTGATTATGACAGTTTCAGTGTTAAACAAATTTGGAGGTATGAAATGGGAAATCTAGAAGTTCATAAATGTATTAGCATGATCACATTAAACTTTCTATTCGTTAGGAAAGTCAGTTTTTTTCCTGTATTTTTCTGTTGTATTTTCTTATAGATTTTAAAAAATTAACTTATGAAAACATCAAGGCCTGTATTAAAACAGAGATGAGGGTGAGCCTTGCTGATTTGTCTTCCATTTGGCATCCTAACATAGTTGTTCTACTGTATTTAACCGCAGATCATCTTCTGATGATTTTGACACAAAATTTCAGGTATCATAGATATCTCAACGGGAGATCTGTCAAAAGGTGTCAAAGTTCAGACAAAACATTTGGATGCCCTAATTGAACTTCACAACACAACAGGGAGTTTTGCCAGGAATATCCAGCACCTATTCTCAGACACAGATCTTCAAGTTATGTTGGATGCTTTGAAAGCCATATATCATCCTTTTGAAACATTCAAAAGGCGGTGAGTTCATGTGAAGTAAAAGTAATAACAACCCGTGATATCATTAAAGCATTCTTTTTGGATTTGTAAAAGAACAACAAAACCCAGTATAATCCCAACTTCAATGGGGTTTGGGAGATCAAGATGTACTCAGACCGCAGTCTTACCCCTGGTTCTGTTAAACCCATGTTTTGTTGTTAGATTTACTGCCCAAAACCTCTTATAGAGTAAGAACCAGAGGAAGTTTAAAGATTTTTCTGATTTACTCACTAAATAAGATATTCAAAAAGAGTTCTAAACTTAAAGCAAAAAAACAATAGGTAACACAGTTCTCTACTAGACATTTTTTTCCATTGAACATTTGGATGGAATTGTTGTCATAGTGGAAATCTTGGACTAGCTTGCGTTAGTACGAAGTATGTGGGTAGTGGACTGGATAATGAATTACATTTTCAGTCTTTGGTTGATAGTTACATGCTCATGTAGTGTTCTTCAGAATTTATACTCTGACGAATGTGCTAATTGCTTATAACTAGTAGTTTGTTACTTTGTTGTGTGAAGTAAGGGTATTAAGAAAATGAATTCTTTTCTTCAGTATTTGAGGATGGGTTTTCATTTCCCAACAATAGAAGTCAAACTCCTCTCATGCTATATATATATATATATATATATATATATACACACACACTCCGTGATACTGTTCCCCTAAGTTGTAGATGGCTAGATCACCTAGATGCTAATGCTGGCTTATATATCCTTAGTTTGAGCTAGTTGCATTGTATCCCTTATTCATCTGTTCTTAGGTACGGGCAGATGGAGCGTGCTGTTCTTTCTGGTGAGATTGCAGGACTTGACCTACGAGGAGCTGCAATAACTCTTGTAGGAGTCCAGGGTGTTGAACTTAGTGAAACAGTTCGGAGGATGGAAGAGTCAATAACACAAGTCATTTTACTTCTAGAAGCTGCTGTAGAGAGATGCATTAATTTTACCGGCGGCTCTGAGGTGGATGAGCTCATTCTTGCACTGGATGATGTCATGCTACAATATATTTCCACCTTGCAGGAAAATTTAAAATCACTAAGAACAGTGTGTGGTTTGGATTCTGATGTCTCTGCTGGTTCAAGAAAAGAAACTGGGGCTGACAGCAGGAGGGGGGAAGTAGCTTCCCACTCGCGTAAAGTTGACTTCATGTCAAACGAGGAAGAGTGGTCATTTGTCCAAGGGGCATTGCAGATTCTCACGGTTGCTGATTCTTTGACCAGTAGATCATCAGTCTTTGAAGCATCCCTCAAGGCTACCCTTGCTAGATTGAGTACTAATTTGTCTTTTTCTGTATTCGGTTCGAGTCTTGATCAGAACCACTCCCATGATGATGGGAGTGGACAGATGTCTGTGACAGGACGGGCTGCCTTGGATGTGGCAGCTGTGAGGCTTCTTGGAATTCCTGAAAAGGCTCGGAAGCTTCTAAATTTATTGGAGCAGGTAGTCAATGTTAAGGGTGTGTTTGGTTTAAAAGAGGGCTTGGGGAGAGGAGGACGGGAGAACAAAAATTAGCGGAAGAGAGGGAATGAAATATTTTTTTGGTCCCATCCCTTTACTAAAACTTCAACCAAACGGGGGAGCGGGAGATGTTTGCCTCCCCTCCCTTAGTCCATTCAGACCAAACATGCCGTATGTGGTAATTTAATGCTAGATCATAAGGACTTCATACTCATTTGTAAGTAGTGTTGTTATTCAGAGGTTGAACCCGAGCATTGGATGTCCGAGTTCAACTCTAACCTACATTGAGTTGGGCTCGAGCTCGGTTATTTAAGGTTTCAAACTCCAAGCTGAGTTCGAACTTCACTCTTTTCAGGCTCGAGCTCAACCTTATCAAGTGGAGCCCTAGAGCTACATCTACACTATGTTTGGTTCAAGAAATTTGAAAGGGAAAAGAAAAGGAAATGATATAGAAAACAATTTTTCTTGTTTGGTTAGATAGGAAAAGAAAAGAAAAGTGGACAGAAAAGAAAATGAGAAGGCAAAATTTACTAAGAAGATGGAAAACAAAATTCCTCTCAATTAGGCAAAGAAAATGAGAGAAAACCGTTTTCTTTTCTTTTCCTTCCAAATTCATTGAACCAAACATAGTTTAAGAGTGTAATATCCAAATTTGAGCCAGACTTTTCTCAAATGAAGGCATTTGGATCAAGCCATAGCGAATTGATAGCGAATTGAGCTTGCGACCAATTTAAGATTGCATTAAAAAAGTTGGTATCATAAAATGTTTGTTCTTTTCATTTTTTCTAGATATGGTGGAAACATCCGGGTAAATCTTTACTTTTCGCCCTATGTGTTGCTTATTTTAATTGATAACTTGATATTTATTTTGCTTATATTTTGTTATTTGTTGCAGTCTAAGGATCCCCGGTTTCATGCACTTCCAATTGCTTCTCAACGGGTTACAACTTTTGCTGATGCTGTTAATGAGCTTGTTTATGATGTACTCGTGTCAAAAGTACGGCTGCACTTGAACAATGTATCTCGTTTGCCTATATGGTCTTCCATGGAAGAACATAATTCTCGTCCCCTCCCAACATTCAGTGCATATCCCCAATCTTATGTCACCAACGTTGGTGAATATCTGCTGACATTACCCCAACAACTAGAGCCACTTGTGGATGGAATTTCAAACTCCGATGCCACCAATGCTGATGATGCTCAGTACTTTGCCACTGAATGGATGTTTAAGGTAACTTAAAATCACTCCATTCTTTGATAACTGTTGCTTTTGCCCTTGTTTCGTTTGGAGATTTCAAACGGGAGGGAAGGGGAGATGCTATTTTAAAAACTAAGGACCCATTTGGTGAGTTTTGGAGTGTTGATATGATATGGGTAAATCCGTAAAAAAAATCATTTAGGTTCTAAAATCTGAAATGAAAAAAAACTATCAAAAATAATGAAGTTGATGACATTCTTCTCCTGACCACAAAACAGGTTGCAGAAGGGGCAACTAGCCTGTACGTGGAACAATTGCGTGGCATTCAATATGTTACGGAACGTGGGGCCCAGCAACTGTGTGTGGACATTGAATACCTAAGTAATGTGCTCTCAGCACTATCAATGCCCGTTCCTCCCGTTCTTGCCACATTTCATTCATGTCTCTCAGTACCAAGAGATGAGCTGAAGGCGTTTGTAAAAAACCCAGATTCCGGGAATCAGCTTGATCCTCCCACTGCCAACCTTGTGTGCAGAATGCGTCGTGTTAGCTTGGAATGATAATATGGTTTCGACCATTCATATGGTTCACAAGTCCCCATACCGTTTCAGGTTCTCTTTTAACAATCTCTGCTTTAATATAATAATCTTCTAATATAGGTTTGACGATCTAATAAAGTAGAACGTGTATGATTGTAATTTGTGTTGAGGAATAGGTATCCAAAAAAAAGAGTGGAAGAAAAGTTAGGGGCAATCTAAATAAGAAAGTAGAGAGATAATTTTGAGACAAAATGAGTATACATTATAATAGTCTTATAGAGGTAAAATTAAGGACTTGTTTGCAAATGACATTTTCAACTAGCGCGAGTGATTTGGATAACATTTTGATGGTACACAGCAACTCCGAAAATGCTAAAACTAAACGTTGCATTTAGATAGTCTTTTCAAAATGTTAAAGTTGTTGCTAATGCTAAATGCGCCCTAAAACAAATTGTCTCTGTTTTGCAGGAAATCGTCCTAAGCTGTGATTCCATATTATACGTGTGAAAAGGTTTTTATTTAGGATAATGGTTTTACTTTTATTTTTCTACAGATTTTACATAGGGACATTAATTTTCTTCTTCTTCGTGTAACAAGAATATTAGCGTGTCAAAAAAAAATAAAATAGAAAGAAGTGTAGTTAGTTTTATTCGAGGTTGACTCATACCACATAAACACCAGCTAATGAGATGAGATGTTTTTATACAACTGTTGTATTTGACATTAAATTAATTATTCTTTTTAAGTTAAATAGATTTCATTGTTATTACATTGGAAGATCATTATTGTTATCATATTAAATCCTCCGCATTTAAATTGAATGGGAGTGTTAAAAAATTAACGTGGGTGAAATTTCTCTTGGAGTAGATTTTTTTTACCATTCAAGTCAAGGGAGAAACTCATTTTAATTGTTGTTAAGACTTACCGAGTACATAACTTTTTGTGCGTTCCTGAATGGAATTACGTATTTTTAAAATATTAATTTTTAAAAATATTAATTTTTATACTTCGGAGCACATTATAATTCGCTATATTTTCAATCATAATAAAATATATGCATCTATTATTTTGTTTTTATAAAAAAAGGCGTAAAAATTTAAACATAGTACTACCTCCGATCCTAAAAACATTACATGTTTTACTTATTTTTTGTTAAACAGTGTCACTTTTTAACACTTACGAAAATTTGTAGATTTAAGGAATTTAGTGGTATTTTTTATCAACATGTTATGTTGACTTTCGCTAAGATTATTTGGTACTCTTTTTTTGGTGCTTAAGGTTGTCTATTTCAATTTACGGAGAATATTTTTATATTATCCTTTAATATTATCACATCGCTCAACATATGTAAATAGAAATGGCCGCAGTCTGTGACAATCTGTAATACTGCTTTAATTTATCACGGACCGCGTTTATTAAAATGACATGGTATGAGTACATGATGAAACACACAAATCTCGTTTACACACACGATAAAGAGTTAAGTACCATTGTGATCCCATATGATATCAAGTGACTTCAATTTTGTCCCCCAGCCCGATATATAAATGTCATATTTAGGAATGGTACTCCTTGAATTATTTAACTAATGATTTAAATGTCATACTTTTGTGCATTTAAAATATTAATTATTTGAGTTAGGATTTTTTTTATAGCTCTTCCATGTTTTTCTCACAGAAAAGAAAAAAATATAAAATTAGATGTTTTAAAAACCTACACCTTTAAATAACTCAGGTAGATGTTTTTAAATAATTACTGCTTTATCATAGAACCTTTCTACAATGATAATAATGAGTTTGCTTCTTTTGACATTAGAGCCAAATGTATAGTACTCCGGATGATTTTGGCTCAATTGGAAACCTAGAGCCAAATGTATAGTACTCCGGATGATTTTGGCTCAATTGGAAACCTAGAGCCAAATGTATAGTACTCGGGATGATTTTGGCTCAATTGGAAACCTACAGTGTCTCGATTATAAAATTGATAGTTCTTATCTCTAACTCTCACTCCAGCCCAACTCGAACCACCACTCTCTCCAATTGAACCACTCAAGTTCAGTTGACTATGAGGTCAAAAAATTAGACCCCAAGATAAATTAAACCAAGGTGGTCCAATAAAAGGGGATGGGATGATTGGTTCGCGTTGGGCCAGGGTGGGAGTTTACTGAAACATTAAGGGACTACCACTTTTACAAACAAGATATTGTAGGTGCCCCAATTAGAGTCAACGTCGAAAAATTTCTCAAAAACATTCAAAGAGTATGTCGAGTGCCTTTGTCGAGATTGACAATAGTCGCCCCACTTAGATACTTATATTACGAACCATTCGTGTCTACTTTGTCCCGACTTGTGCAAAAGGAGAAGGTTCAATGAAAATGATCTTTCATGATGAACAAATATAATATTCACATTTTTTACATTTATTTATTCTAACACATTCCGTAATGTTGGATTATCTATTTCATGTATACAGCACGAGGATTCACGCTCATCTTAATAAACCTAGAAAAAAACATTTTGAAACTCAAATCGTAGAAAATAGTGTTTTTGTAATTCAAAATATACTTGTTCATGATAACTACCTCTAATCATTTTATTTTCAGATTGACTTCCTCACTTTTAAACAAAGCATTGTAATCAACTCTTTTATTAGTCAAAGTTTTGGATTATGAAGCTTCCCTAATGTACTCCATATTACTTATATTTATCCTCTCTTTGCTTAAATGTATTTCTCTTTTATAAAAAAAATTTCTTGGATATAATTGGTTATAAAATAAATTTTGTTGAAACATTCTACCCATGCATAGCACGGGTATGAATCTAGTAGTAGTAGAAGAAGAAGAAGAATAGTAGTACCCCTTGGGTCACCCTTTGCAGTCACCAAATGAGGATTAGGTTCCAAAAAAGATTAGAACTATCACTTTTCAATACACTTGTCCAGAGAAATGTTCTCATTGTACACATAGCATCGTTTATACAACAGTTGCGCTAAAGCAATAGTGTTACCAGAAAAACTTTCTCATACACACACACTAGACTGAGCCCAAATTTTTTTGCTTGTACCGTAGACCTTAACTCCATACATACCCCTCTTTATGCACAGGGTAAATTAGGTGAAGGGAATGAGAATCTATGGCGCATCGCAGCAAGCCAACGAAAGCCTTAAAGAAATTTCTTTAAGGGAAATATTTGCATTCTCTTTCTTGAAAAAAAATGATTGTAAATCTCAAAGATACACATGAAGGTTCCAAGCCAGTGTCAGTATCTTAAAGGGGGGCTAGGGGATCATATTCATATGCATAATATGCATTTAAATTATATATTTTTTAAAGAAATAATCACAGGCATTTCATGTATGAAGTGGAAACTCTATTTACATGTGGAGAGTTTGAATCTCATAACATGTGTTTTGTCTATATATCTATTTTAGGAAAATGCTTATGTATACTTATTACATGATCATTTTAGCTCACGAAAATGCAATGTGTCATTATTGTTATTCTTTGAAGGCTTATTAAGAAAAAGGTAAAATTAAATGTTTTGAAAACTTTGACACATAATTTGTGAAATGCCTTTGTTACCTTTATAGTGTTAGTTTGAACCGAGATTTCTGCAAATGGCGCTGGCTGCCACATCAGCTGGCGAGTCCCTGCATAGTTCTACCTCTACCAAAATGAAGGGATATGGAGTTTGTGTGAATTTACCTATCTGTGAACCCCCATCATTGGACATTTGGACCAAACAGATATTATATCAAGGCTTAAAGCATTCTCATATGAGCCGATTACCATGCCAAATATGCAAAAAAATAACAAAATTGGTTTAAACCCTCACGTAGGACGGAAAAAAAAGGACCAATAAAGTAACCAATTCGGACAAACGGGTTGTAATTGTTACCTCAGTGTTGGAATGATCTCCTTAAGCAGCTGTGGTTACCAACGCTAACTAACGGATCAGTTTTTAACTAATATATGTGACCCTAAAAAGATAACACTCATACCAAATAATCCAAACAGAGCACAAATTAGATAGAGCAAAGAGGTGCAACAACAGAGCAATACCTACCTCATCAACCTTTCTCCTCTACATTGGGGGAAGATCATATAGTCTCAATAAAGCTTTTAGCTGTCAGAACAAAAAAACAGTTTCACACATGAAGAGATAGATGGACGGATCTTCGCATACATTCAGGATAATTATTATTTTTTTGTGGAGTAGCGATAAAATGTCTACCTCAACTTTTCAAACTTCGGATGTATATATCCTTATAAATGCTTCTAATATTGGCGAACCGGACTCTTTGTTAAGCTCCGGCGACCACCAAGCCGGACCGGTGACCGCGACCTGCTTCTGTCACGATGCCGGTTCCTGTCCCCTCTTCCGTTTCTGGTGTTACCGTACCTATTCCAATTTGAACCACCATTATCTCTGTCACGCGTCCCTCTGAAATTGCGTTCACGATCTCTTTCATGGTGGCGATCGCGATCGCGCTCCCTTCCATAATTCCTATCGCGGTATATATCCCTATCAGATGAACCCCCACCACTTCTATGTCTGTTCTCATTTTCTTTCTCCTGCTTCCTTCTTTCTTCTGATTCCTTCTCCCTTGCCAATCTTTCCTCTTCTCTTGCCTTCTCTCGTGCAGCCTAAACAAAAAATAATCATAAACCACATCTTAGTTTTCTTGTCCTTGATTTTTTAAAAGAATCGCTTATGTGGCATAGTAAAAAGTGTAAAATTGGATTATCATACTACCTTTATCTAAAAAAAAGAGACTAGCAAGATAAAACTTGTAAAAAAGAACCTAGCCAAGATAAAACTTGTAAAAAAGAGCCTAGCCAATACTTATCTAATTCAAGAGAGTTTTTTGAAATAAAAAAATAAATTAGATTTAATGATAATTAACATCTTTAGCTCAAATAAGACTCTTTTCGGGACAGTTTTAAGCAATGTTCGAAATGGAGAATTGTGTAAGGCATTTTCATTGCGTATGTAAGGGCATTTTCCCTTCAAGATCTATTGCGTAAGCCTCAAGGCGGAGTGAGGCCTAAGCCTCATTCTTAAAGTATCATAATGTGCATAAAAGATTACTAAACTGAATGGTGGGGCTTTTGTTAAGGAAATGTGTGGTAATATTACCTTGTATTCAGACAAGAAATCTCGAACCATGCCATAACCCACATGTTGTTTGCCTGTGACATGAGACTGAGTCCGCTCAGCAGCATCGTTTGCAATTAAAAAAGAGCCACATGTTTCACACAGCGCCATCTTTTTCTCTTGTGCCATCATCAGCAAACTGGTTTGATGTGACTTCTGAGTCAAAGATATCTTTTCAATATTAAGCAGCTCAACCTGAAATATGAGTTAATAAGCACATACTCTGTATCAATTTCCCACATTAAAAATATCAACCTTTTGTGTCAACTAATAATATCAACTTAGTTATGTGGGAAACATTTTCAAGAGACTACTTCCCTAAAAAATTCTCCCAATGATATATCATATATCATTCTACTTCTATATATAATGTATTCTCTAGCCCACAAAAAGAACACAAAACTTTTACAAGAAAATGACTTTTTGACCACTCCTCTATACAATACAACCTTTTAGCACAAAATTTGAAACCATCACATAAAATATTTTCTTTAATGAAATATTTTAAGATGCCAAACAGAAGCAAACATTTCCATGCCTAACACAGGCCTTAACTATCATTTCTTTGGATAAATGAATAATGGAATACAATAAACTCATTGCATGAAGTGTTTAGAATCCCTAACAGTAGTAATTTATGGCACCTTTCTCATCAATGCTTCAGCTTCATCCACATTTCCAGCTTCACCAAGAGACTCCACTTGTTCCAGTAAATTCTTAATATTTTCCTCCAGGCGAGATAACTGTTCAGACTTTTCTGTTGACAACGAGGAAGGTAAGGGAGTTGCCTCATCTTGATCAAGGCGTTCTTGACCACGCTTCACTCTTCTGTCCAGGTCCATGATCTAGAATACATTAAATCAATAATCATTACAATGAATTGTTCTGCCAACAGGAAACAACAACAGCATATCCACTAATCCAACAAGTGGGGTATAGGGAGAGCAAGAAGCATGCTTAGCTGCAGACCCTACCTCCACCAGCGAGAGGATTACTACCAGGAGATTAATTAAAAGCATAACGATACAAAATATACCTACTTACCAACTTCTCGCAGAAATGAGCTAGCTCCTCTTCAAATTTGGGAACATATGCATCATGTCGTGGGGACTTTTCAAAACTGGAGACCAACAACATTAAGCTCTCTTGATTTGTAAATGGAATATAGTCTAGATCTATGTAACTTGCCTATCACCCAATAAAATGAAAGCTACAGGAAAGTATGCTTAGTGGTTGAAATAGGTTGGGATGAGTTTTCAGCATATATTAGTAGAAATGAGAACCAACTTAAAATAAATCTAAACATATTCAACTAAAAAAACTACAGCAACTTCTAGTTCCTCAAAACAGGTGATGACTAGATGAGCAAGTATGTAGCAAGAATTGGAAAAGGATGTCCAAGTACAAAATCTTCAAGTTTCTCAGAATAACAATTATAGCCATTACATGATGCTCTGAGAAAGTGCACTATATTTAGTATATAATTGTTACTTTGCACTCAACTCTTATAAATGGAGCCAAAATGCCTGTCCCCCTAATTCTTGATCTGACTAAAGATTTATCCACAACAAATTGCATATAGACTATGCTGGCAAGTTCCCAGGCTGTGTCTTCGATGGGAGGCAGACGGATGAAAAAAAGAAGGGGAGAATGAAGGAAAAGACTAGAGAAAAAGCACTGAAATCCAAGGGTATACCGGTATAGTAATTATCAAAGACTAAAGAAAGTAACTTATTTTCAATTTTGACACAGACACACACCAGAAGAAAGAGTGAGAAATGTAACAGATATACACTTTGTATATACAATTTGAAGTGCACGAATCTTGGTTGAAACACAGTATTACCTAAAAAATAACCATCATGAATCACAATGCAAAAATGTAATATTGAACCTTACCTTTCCTTTAACTTTGGATCATGAACTTTTGGACATGGCCCTGATGGCAAAAGTTGAAAGAAAAATAGTAAATGACGTGCTTAAGAAAATGTGTACAGCTAAGAGATTCTACATGGTTAAAATAATCCATACAATGAAATACTACCTCCGTCCCGCTATATTCGTCTACTTTTGGCTTTTGGAACTGTTCATCTAGGCACTTTGACTCATCAAATTCTCTCAATGTGTAAGCCTAAATATAGTCATGTGTGATCTTGTTTGATTTGTCTTAACATATAGATTATTAATATATAATTTCTATAATATTTTAATATACAAATAACAAGATAAAATGGATTAAAGAAGTGTATTGGATGGTGACAAATACTCTGGGACGGAGGGAGTACAATTTTTCGGAAACAGGCCTAAGGGTTGTCTTTAAGACAAAAAAGAGCAATTTCATTAGTTGTTGGATAAAAATGATGGGTGAGGGTTAAAAGGGGGGTGGGTGTATTATTTGAATCAAATACCAACGAAAAGCTCTATTTTTTGCCATAAAAACAGCCCTTAGGGCTGTCATTAGCATTTTCCAATGAAATGTGATATCCTCAATACACAGAGCAACATTTTGGGTTATATACAGCTCCAACCATTAATAATATACAGAGTGTAAATTGAAACTCTGTATATTATAAATGTGCTAGCACGCTAATAAAAATAAATCATATAGTACAGTGAATTCAAAACTCACCCAAATCACTCCGAGTATTCACGAACAAATCATGGGGGCAAAACCGAACCATATAGAACCTACAAACTTCCTTGTCATCCCATGTGAGTTCCTTGTACCCCTTCCTCTCTTCTTCAGTCAGATTACGTGCTATGAAAATACAACCACAAAATATGACGGCCAAAATTAGCCATGAAAGAAATAATCCCCTAACACGTGAACAAAAGTACTTATAGATAGTTGATACAATCATTAATCTGCTACTGGATGCCTCAAAATATTAATCACGTGCAACCATCAAGTGAATTGAAAACACTTGGATTTGAATCGGACAATACACATTTGATAGTTCTATAGTAACTTTTGTTCCAACTATAATTTCGGGATGGCGCAAGCAGGATTTTCTCAATGATTCAATGGTTTTGAAGGTATAGGGATCAAAATTCAGTTACGACACTGATAGAACAAAGAAGGACGAAAGCAAAGCATGATTTAAGACGAAGAACTTACATGCGCCCATGAGTTCATCGAGCAATGCTCTCTGAGCATCCATGACGGAGAAATCGGAACAAGTGAGAGAGTTAAATCACAGCCGGTGCTGAAATCGTCGGAGTTGTTGGAGAAGACGTAGCAGAGAAGAGAATAGAAGAGAGATGATCTTTCTGTCGCGATTTAGGGTTTCATCTATAACTAAAAAATGTCGGGCGAGTATACCAGATTGTGTCTATGGTTTATTTTGCCGCTAATTATACATTAACCATCATTCCATCAACAATTAATAGTCCCAATTAAAAACCTGTTTTCTTAATTTATTCTTATTATTTAATCTCTCTTTTCCAAAAAAAAAAGTTAACTTTTTTTTTGAGATGTCTTCCAAAAAACCCTTCCGAAATTTTGAAAATTTTTTGTTGCTCAATTTTTTTCTTTATGCATTATTTTCAACCACGTAATTTTATGTTTCTTAAACTTTGTATCAAACCAAATAAAGAATTGTATTTCTAACGGAGAAAGTATTATTTATTCTTAAAATAATTAGATAAGATTAGATAATGAAACAATTTTAAGTATAACTATAATCACAATAGATACTATGTCTGATCAGACATTAATAGAATGAGATCAAACGAAGAGAACAAACTCTAATATTCATAGTTCCTTTTTTAAACCGTCCCAAAATAATTAATATAATACTCTCTCCGTCCCTAAATAAATTTCTTCTTTCGTTTTTTCTTTGTCCCCAAATAAACTTCCATTTTTCCTTAAAAAATCACTTTTACTCATTACTTTTTCATACCCTACCTATCACATCATACCTTTTTACTAATAATCTGCATATCACATCTTACTTTTACACATCACATCAAATGTATTTTTGGAAAGTCAACACCAAAATATCACTCCCTTAATTTCCCAAAAAGTCAAAAAAGGAAGTTTATTTAGGGACGGTGGGAGTATGTATCTTACTTTGCTTACCTAATTCAATGAAAAATATCTCGTCCACAATCTTTTTTTATTTTTCTAAATAAATATTAATTACTCCGTACTATTTTTTTACTCTTTGACAACTAAGAGCATCTCCAACCCATCATTTATATTTTAGTCTTTGTAAAATTAATGAGTTTTGTTTTTGGTCTATGTAACATATTTTTTTTTATCAAAGTCATCCTTACAAAAAAAAAATTATTTTGAGAATAGTCTTTAGACATAATTAGTATTCCTAATTAGACGAAATATCATATTTATTTCGTACTCAACATCCTAGCTTTGTAATTCTAATAACATCTTATTTAATTTCCAGTTCCTAAATTGTGTACTTATTCATAAGACTCCCTCCGTCTTAGAAAATTTTTCTCCTTTCTTTCTTCATCCGTCCCAAAAAACACTTCTCATTTCTATTGAAAAGTCACTTTTGCCATACGTATCACATCATACCTTTTTACTAATAATCTATCCATCAAATCATACTTTTACCTATCATATCAAAGGACATTTTTGGAAATTCAATATCAAAATACACTCCCCTTAAATCCATCTCCAAAACCAAAACTCCCATGTTTTCCGGGACGGGGGGAGTATATAGTGTGTTACTTAAGTAAAAAACTGAGTACATGACTTTAATCGGTTATGTTTTCACTAAACAAATATTTTTTTAAAGTGATATTGAGTCTATTACAATAAACATTTTAAATAACATTTTTACAAATGAATAGCATACTCAACCATATTGGAGTGGTAAAAAACATTGTGTTCCAACCGCATCAAAATCACTTCTCCAAATGGAAGGTCACATGTTTGCTTTTAGTGGAAATTGAACAATAACTATATACTCCTTCCATACCCTGTATTTGTCCACTTTCATTTTTACACATCATCCAATGCACTTCTTTAATTCATTTTATCTTGTAATTTGTATATTAAAAAATTATAAAAATTATATATTAATAATCTATATGTTAAGACAAATCAAACAAGATCGCACATGACTATATTTAAACTTCAACATTGAGAGAACTTGATGAGTCAAAGTGCTTAGATGAACAGTTCCAAAAGTCAAATGTAGACAAATACGTACAGGAGGCGCAGGGAGTATGTTTTATAGGAACAATAATCTGACATAACTGTAGTATAGTGTATATATCAATAGAATATAGTTACGGCCCATATACTCTAATCGTGAGTGTCACCATTTTCTACTAACTATAAAAAAATCAATGAGGAAATGAATTCTTCTATACAATGCATGTGCCACTCGTATATGTCACTCATCATCAACACTAGTGATTTGATTATCAGGAACATAACTGTTATTGCCACCGCCGTTACCCATGGCATCACCGCCACATCCACGGCTCTCGCCGCCCGACAACTTCCTCTTGGGCCTGACGTCTATCAACATGGAAACAACTTCCCGCATGGAAGGCCGGTCCGCCGGGTTCCGGCGAGTGCACAACAATGCAATGTTAAGCAATAACATCATCTCCTCCATCACCAATGGGGAAGAAGTAGAAGAAGAACAAGAAAGGTCATATTTATCAAAGAATATTTCTTTCATGTCATTTTTCGCGTTCAATTTGGACCTCACCCAATCCACAATGCTATTGCCTTCTCCAAATTCAGACTCCATTGATCTTCTACCAGTCAGTATCTCCAATAGCATAACTCCATAACTATAGATATCACTTTTTGCGTCAACTTGTAATGAATATGCATATTCTACAAGATAAGAAGTACCCAACTTTAGTTTGTTAATAAGAACTCATGATCCTTTAATTTGAAGATCCAAAATCACATCACTTGGTTAAATTGGAAAAACTTGATAGTCAAATTGTATAAACGAACTGAATAGTCACACTAGACAAAATTTGATCAAACAATAATATTGAATGAAATCTCCCTACGTACATTACATATTCACACAATAAAACAAAACTTTAAAAACTTTATTGCAAATTGTCAATTAATGAAGCTTAATTATCAAACTATGTTTAGTTTGATATATATAAAAAAAAGGCAAATGGGAATATTATTTTCCGATATTGAAGAAAATATATCAATATATCACGGAGGGGTGAGAGAGTCTCATGAAAGCTGTAATTAATGATTGCTCCATGCCAAATTAAATTAAAAGTCAAGAATAATAAACCAATATAATCATGGCTAATAATTAAATAATACGAGTATGAGAGTAATTAAGGAAGTATAAGTAAGAAAATATTGGTGGGTTGAGAAAATAACGAAAGTGAAAGCTAAAAAGCAAATAGGCTCATTGACATGCGCAATACTGCCATTATAGATCACGGCAAATAGAGAAAATTAGAGAAAAATGAAATTGGGAAATACTACGAAAAAGGAAAAGGGCAAATTAAAGCAAAAGTGCAAAACAAAATGATCACAATTCTGATTTTTGGTTTCACATTTGTATTATGACTTATGAGTATTAATTGTTTCTTTATCATTATTTGATGAAAATAAATTTATTTTTACTTATAGATTGTACCCCAAAATGTATCTTAGAAGTTTACACTTATATTTTATGTCAGTGTAAATGTGAAATTGGTAGCTTACATTAACATAAATTGTCAGTATGAAATTTTGAAATTAAACTAACTTATTTTTTTGAACAAAGTAAACTAATATTTTATGTCACGGTAAGTCATCAAAATGTAAATCTAAATCTTCGAAATAAATTTTAGGATACAATTTTTGAAGTATAGCTCACATAAATTAATTCTTGTTTTTTATTTAAATAGAAAAGGTTGTCAAGGCCTTGTACTCTAATGACACCACAATAGTTTTCTCAAATGAGAGGTCACGCGTTTAATAAGTTGAAAATGTATCAATAGGTATTACATTATAATAAAATTATTAGTGTTCAAAAAATAAAAAAAGTTTGACTTCTTTTTCTTATGGTCCATTAGGTATTTAAGTAGTAGGGAACCAATTAAAGGGATCCCCCTACTTCTCCAATGCTCTTTTTTTAGACAAATCTGGCTTATTTACGATTAAATAAAACAAAGTGAAATTGATTCATAGAATCTCACCTAATACTCTAGCTCTCATATAAAAAAAGTAAAAAGAAAGACCTAATGATCATTCCCTTATACTTTTTCTCTTTGTGTATACGTTAAAAAAGGATAAATATACCGCATAGATGACCAGAAAACTGCTCTTGGGTACCCCATATTTTGAGAAACTAACTGCCGGGTACCTTATATTTTCAAAATATACTCCAAGGTACCTTCTATTTTGAAAAACTAACTGCCGGGTACCTCATATTTTCAAAATATACTCCGAGGTACCTTCTATTTTGAGAAACTAACTATTGGGTACCTCACATTTTTAAAATATATTCCAGGATACCTCCAAATATACATTAATTTTACGCCATTAATTTTAAGAAATAGGGATTTGGAATTTTAAAAGTAAAATTAATGATTGGAATTCCAAACCTCTATTTCTTAAAATTAATGGCGTAAAATTAATGTATATTTGGAGGTATCCTGGAGTATATTTTAAAAATGTAAGGTACCCAATAGTTAGTTTCTCAAAATAGAAGGTACCTCGGAGTATATTTTGAAAATATGAGGTACCCGGCAGTTAGTTTTTCAAAACAAAAGGTACCTCAGAGTATATTTTGAAAATATAAGGTACCTGGCAGTTAGTTTCTCAAAATATGGGGTACCGAAGAGCAGTTTTCTGCATAGATGACTACGATTTTTTGACACTGAAGAGAAAGTCAACCAAGCATTCGACCATCAAATCGCAACAAAATGTTTGTTATTGTTATTATCAACACAATTGCACATGTCACGCATTTTCTAATCATGCTTCTGTAGACAAACAATATACATTTAAAATCATGATTTAAATTTATCAAAGTGTATAAATAATGCCATACCTGGAGCAATATAGCCATAAGAACCCGCGATTATCGACACGGTGCATTCGTCACCTTGGAACAACTTAGCGACTCCAAAATCCGCAACCCTGGCCACATTTTTATCGTCCAAAAGAATGTTACTAGGTTTTAGGTCACGATGGAGTATGATCGGGTCACAATCGTGATGAAGATAACTAATTCCTTGAGCCACACCAAGGGCAATCTCGTATCTAGTTACCCAATCCGCAACCATATTACTCATGTTTTTGTTTTTACCATGTAATAAATCATCGAGACTCCCGTTGGGCATGTACTCGTAGAGTAACAATGCACAGTCGTCACTGGCGCAACATCCTAGTAGTCTCACAATGTTTCTGTGTTTAATTTTGCTCAAAACCTCGACTTCTGCCAAAACGCCCTTCTTTATACGGATTGTGTCCTTCTGTAGATTATGTAATTTTTTTACGGCTATGATCTCGCCACTTGGCATTTCCACCTTGTACACTGTCCCAGTGGACCCTGACCCAATCACCTTGTCACAGTCTTTCACAGAATCCAAAACGTCTTCCGCCGTGAAATTCAACCTTTGGTAGGCGGTCAGCTTCCACGGGTCCGGTTCCCGGTCATCGGGGAACCGGAGATCGTAGCTCGCCCGTAAACACCTCAACGCGACGGCGAGTACGAACACGCAAATCCCAAATGTGGCGATGACGATGTAGACCACTTTCCTCGTGGTCTTTTTATGGGGCTGATTGATATCCATGCTGGTCGCCGGCGCAGTGCGGCAGGATCTTCTGATGATGCTGCCGCAGAGCCCGTCGTTTCCGGTGAAAGACGACGCGTGGAGGCTCGAGAATACTTGACCGGACGGTACGGGGCCCACGAGACGGTTGTAGGACACGTTGAAGCTCTCTAGGGTACGTGTGCCTCCGAAATTCGAGGGGATTGTCCCGGAGAGAAGATTGTGGGACAAATCTAGGTCGGTGAGTGACGGGAGTGAGGAGATCTCCCAAGGGATGGTGCCGGAGAGGGAATTCCGGCGGAGATTCAAAGATATGAGCTTCTCACAGTGCTGAACATCCGGTGGGATGTCTCCGGTTAAGTTGTTCCCTTCGAGCTCGATCTTGTACAAGCTATGGCAGCCTCTGAAATCTGGGATTTTCCCGTGAATGGCGCTGTGACTTGCAGAAAAGATATTCAAATCCGGCGCGCTCCAGATGTTTCCCGGCAAGCCGGAATGAAACTGGTTCCCGGAAATGTTCAAGAACTGCAGTCTCACGGCATTGCCGAAATCCTCCGGGATCGCGCCGGATAAATTGTTGAGGCTGAGGTCCAAGAATGTCAGATTCGGCAATGACCCGAACCCTGCCGGAATGGATCCGTTCAGGCGGTTATCCTGAACTCTCAGCCTGGTTAATGAGGTGCAATTCGCAAGGGTCGCCGGGATTTCGCCGGAGAATTGATTTGAGAACAAGATGAGTTTCTCCAATTTCTTACCGAGGCAGAGATCCGGCGGGATCGGGCCGGAGAGAGAACACGACGAGACGTCCATCTTTACTAGCCTGGAATTTGAACCCAATTTTTGCGGCAAAATCCCTGTCAGCGAGTTGTTCCACAGAGACAGCCTCTCAAGACAAGGAAGCCGTCCAATTCCCGACGGGATTTCTCCGGTCAAGTTGTTCCCCAGCAGCGATAAGACCGATAGCTTTTCCAGTGATGAAAGTGTCGCCGGAATATGCCCTGAGAAATAGTTGTTCGAAAGATCCAACTCTTTTAGCATAGTTAATCGGGAAAGTTCCCCGGGAATTTCCCCTGTTAAACTGTTCTTGAATAGGTACAAAATTTTGAGATTTGTTAAATTTGAGATTTGCGGCGAAAGATTGCCGGAGAGATTCGCCTGGGAAATGTCAAGATAGGTTAAGTTATGTAGGGAGAAAATCTCCACCGGAATACTGCCGGCGTACTGGTTATACCCAATCAGGAGATTCTCAAGGTTTTTCAACAACCCCAATTCCGGCGGGATTGCGCCGGTGAGTAAATTACCGGCCAAGTAGAGAAACTTCAGGTTGGAAAGACTTCCGTAGCTAGCCGGGATTTCGCCGGAGAAGTAACTCCCGCCGAGATTGAGGTACTCGAGGTTCTTCAGCGACGCGATTTCTCCCGGCAACGGGCCGGAGAAGTTGTTGCTGAAGGCGTTGAAAACAGAGAGAGACCGGAGCCGAGAAACGGCCGGCGGGAGAGTGGGGCCGAAGGAATTGTTACTAATGTCCAACGTCGTCAGGCCGGGAAGCTCCATAATCGAAGGCGGCATTGGGCAGTCAAAGAGATTCCCGCTCAAATTGAGGTGCCGGAGCCGGGGGAGGTGCCGGAAGCTCGCCGGCAAAGTCCCGGAGAGATTGCGGCGGGAGAGGTCGAGCGCGGTGACGTGGCCGAACTGCCCGCATTCCACGCCCGACCACCGGCACCAAACGAGGCTCGAAACGTTCTTGTTCCCGGTGACCTCCCAATCACGGAAGGTGTTGAGAGGGTCTCTGAGGGATGATTTTATTGAGAGGAGTGAAATGAGTTGAAGAGAAAGAGTGGAACTTGAAGTGGAAATAGAACAGAGTGATGAAAAAGTTGTGGATATGAAGAAGATGAAGAAGGAAATGGAAGAATGGGTGTTCATGTTTGGCTATGGAGGTGAAGAATGAATATGAGAAATTATGGAAAGAAAAGGGAGAAGAAGGAGACATGAAAGGGGAGTTTTTTTTTTTTTTACATATTTTGAGAAGGTTTAGGAATAGTTCAAATTTGGAAGACTTTTTTGGAGTGCTTATTGCGGCCGGTGTTTCATGATGAGTTGGATTGAGTGGAGACAATGGAATGTTTTTATACACAACAAAAAGTAGATGTTGGTACAAACATTTGTGAAATTTCAAAGGAAAGACAAAAAAGTGTCAATGGATTGGGTAGAGAAATCATTATTTTTTATTTTTCAACATTGTAAAGGAAAAGTCGTTAGTGGACTTTATGAATCTTAAGATAAATATTTAATTCGTCTAGAAATGTTTCAGTGAGCTAAATGTACAAATTTCAGTTCAGTTTAGAATCCTCAAATCCGATTCTAGTACAAATTCCGAACCGGAATTGTGTCTACCATTAGATGGAGGTGGTACTATAATCACAAAGATGCATTAGAGTAGTACGCGTAAACTCACACCTAAAAAAAGAATAAAATGGAAAAGATTGTTTCTTTTCTCGAGTTTCTTCGTTCTTCACTGTCATCACGAGTAATCTTAAACATTGTTTGTTATCAACTTAATGTCTTTTGCAATCATAGATTTCTTTCCCCTTTTCATCATTCCTTATTCTTTTTTGTTTGACATTCACCAAAGATTCTTACCCATTTGGTGAAGGAAAAACCAAAAAAGAGTACGTAAAATGCACCTCACATTTAAGGATCACTAGAAATTTAATTAAAAAAATAAATTTAGCATGATTTCATGTTAAATTTAATAAAATAAATTTAATAAAATAAATTTATTCTAAAAATTTTTCATGTTTTGACTTTTTTAGATAATAATGAAATGTATAGAGATCTCATATTGAGCATGATTTCATGTTAACGTAATCCTTTATATATTATATTTGGGAGTTTAACTCCCAGAATTTTGACATTTGTCATGCTGACGGAGTTTTTTTTGACACTTCATAAGCCATGTCATCATATTGGACTTACTCAATATTTCAAACGGGTTGGATAATGATTCATTACTTTGGACTTCTTTTATTTGGGCTACTCTGTGTGGAATTCATCCGCAAGTCTGAATGAAGCGAGACATCAGCGACACTTTCCTTTGATTGCACCTCCCTGCGATATTCATCTTCGAATGGCTCCACCGCGAGATTTCAGAGAATATGTGATTGGAATTAATCTCTTTCCTTCTTCATGGTCCTTCTTCACGGAGATTCCAACGATTGGTACCAAGAATAGGTAACTTTCCCTTTTCTTAAAAAATCATAATTGTTTTTGGAATGATTGACCTTCTTTCCTTCTTATGATGATTAGGCTCTGCGAAATTTTTTCTTCTTTCGAATTTTCCGGTTCAAATCTCTGGATTTTCTACCCTTATTGCTGTAAGTTTCTTTCTTGCAATTTATATTAGGTCATATATAAATCAAATTTTAAGTAAACCATTTCATCAATCTATTTTTTCATTGTAAGCCGCATTCATACCTAAAACCTCTGATTAATTGACATGTCTTCCAAACCGATCCACCCTTTGTTGAAGATCAATCCATCAAGTGAATGCTGGAGAGTTTTGGTTCGTGTGATTTGACTATACAAGATGCCAGTGTATAATGATGAGAAGATGACGAATCCGATTGAGATGATATTCATGGACGAACATGTAAGAATTGTACTCTTATTCGTATTTTGCATACAATATAAAATTTATGTTTAATAGGATTTCTTATAATTTTTTTAGAGGCTGGAAGGTTATTTTGCTTTTACTTTCAAAACACAATTATACTAATCTGTATAAAAAATCAAAATTCTTCAATTGTCCATATTGAATAAATAAATGAAGAATGATAAGTCTGCTATTCTTAAAGTATAATGAGTCTACTTTCCTTGAAGCTTCTATTTTCAGCACCATAAAAAATAATTTTTTTTATTAAAGTACTGAAGAATGAGCCTGTCCTTATTTTCAGATTTATAGTCTGCTGATTTTGAACATATTTTATGGTGTGGAGTTTAGTGTTTAGTCTCTTGAAGTTTCTCCTTTATTCAAAGTATTGAAAAAACAAAACACACTATAGTCTGTTCTGATTCTAAGTATTAAAAAACAAAACACACTATAGTCTGTTTAGTTTTTTTAGTGCCTATTCATGTTGAAGTTTCTCCGGCCAGTGCCTAAAGGCTAAAACCATGAGACTTAATTTTTTGTAATAATGCCTAAGAAAGAATTCTTATAATTTATGTAATAATAACTCTGTCATTCTTAAAGTGTAATAAGTCTGCTGTCCTTGAATCTTCTATTTTCAGCACCATAAAAACATATTTTTTATTAAAGTATTAACGACTTGAGTCTCTCCTTATTTTTCAAACCTTAATTTCAGATTTATAGCCTCCTGTTTTTTAACATATTTTATGGTGTGGAGTTTAATTTTTATAGTCTCTTGAAGTTCCTGCAGTCCTTAAGTATTGAAAAAACAAATCACACTATAGTTTGTTTACTTTTTAAAACTAATACCTGAAAGAGCAATGCTACGTTCACAAACAGAATGATCACAAACTCCACAAACTTACTATTTATGGTTTAAATTCTCAATTTAAAATTACTCCCTCCGTCCGGAAATATTCTTCCCATTTTCCTTTTTGGTCCGTCCGGAAATAATCTTTTCATTTCCTTTTTTAGTATGCTTTTTAAGGCTAAATATTAATAATACCCTTCTATTTTATCACAAATCTACTTTTTCAATACTTTTTTAATAATAAAAGGATATTTAAAAGTTTATAGTATGTGCATTTTTGAAAACTTTGCATTTTTTTACTATTTCTTAATAAGCGTGCCAAGTCAACACGGGAAGAACATTTCCGGACGGATGGAGTATTTTAAACCATTTAATTTTTGTTATCAAAGTTCACAAATAGTAAATTTGTGAATTTTGTGATGATTGTGTTTGTGAACCAAGCATTTCCCTACCTGAAAGAGCAATGCTACGTTCACAAACAAAAAGATCACAAACTCCACAAACTTACTATTTATGGTTTAAATTCTCAATTTAAAATTATTTTAAACCATTTAAATTTTTTTATCAAAGTTCACAAATAGTAAATTTGTGAATTTTGTGATGATTGTGTTTGTGAACCCAAATCAATAAGAAATATAAATACAAATAATCACCCAAATCAATATCAACACACATAATAAGAATTCAAGAGTCATTGATATGTAGATTGACGGTCTGCTCTGTGATTTTAAGGCCAACAAATCTCCTATGGATTGTGTAATGGTACAAGATTAATGATTGACGAGATGCGAAAGAATGTTATTGGTGCTATTGTGGTTTCAAGAAACCGAGTGGGCGAAAAAGTTTACATACCCCAGATGAATTTGGTACCGTCTGATCCAGGACTACCTCTAAAGTTCCAGAGAAGACAATTTCCAATAGTCTTATGTTTTGCTATGACTATTAACAAAAGTCAAGGTCAAACATTATCATTTGTTGGATTATTTTTAACCAAGTCAATGTTCACTCATGGTCAGCTTTATGTTGTTGCTTCGCGAGTGAAGACAAAGACAAGATTAAAAATATTAGTCTTAGATGACAATGGAAATCCTTGCAGCCATACAAAAAATGTTGTATACCCTGAAATCTTTCAAAAAATTTGGGATTAAAGCAAACTTTATTGTGTGTAGATTCAAAAACTCAAATATTATTCTTTTTACTTTGCCCTTCTTTTCTGTGTTATTATAAATCATGCATGATGTATATTTTCTTTATTCCGGAAAAATATTGCATTGAATAAATTCAGAATCGACAAGATATTCGTCCGAACCCGTGCATTGCACGGGTAGGAATACTAGTTAATTATATGAAATCAAACTAACGTTGACTCATTTTAGCATTTCTTAGATCGAGCATGCATCTTCAAGTTATTTGCAAAGACAATGCCAACACTTCGTATTATTTCAACAAACAAATATGGAGTAATATTTTGTCTGTCCATTTTTCAACAACCTCTCCAACTATATGCTATGCATATTATGCCTATTTATCTACGTATTTTACTATTCAACAATTATTTTTTAACAAAAAATATACTCCATATTTAATTTATTCCATACTTTTATATTTTGCTTACATTTATGCATAAAATAAACTCCTTCAACTTCTAAAAATCTTTCATGTTTTGACTTTTTTATTAAACAGTGATATTCTTTGATCATGAATTAAACATAATCTAAACAAATAAATGATATAAAAATTTGATATCTCAAAACTATATCTTAAGATGAACCTAACTTTATTGAATTAATATTATAATCAAATATATTTTTCTCACAATATGCACTAAAAAAGTATTACTATTTGATCAAAAAAGTCAAAATAAGAAAGATTTTTAGGACCAGATGGAGTATATCATAATTAATATTATGTTTGTTAAAATAGCAATAATGTTTGTTATAAATACGGAGTAACTTTTTTTGTTTGTTAAACTAACAATTTTGCTATAAATAATCATTTTCAAATAATTCCACACAAATGAAAAGCAAATGCTAAACATCTTATTCTTAAGCATCAATCTAAGACTACTCTAACTCCAAGTGTTATTCTAATTAATTTTTTGTTTTCATAGGCATATATTCACACAATTTTTTTATATATATAAATCCATGTTTGTGAAAACCAAAAATGAGCAAGCTATCATTTGAAATTGCTTTTCTAGCCACTTTAGCATATGTTTAATAAGAATTCCAAACATATCATCATGCTCCCGCTCTTTTCGGGCGTTTCGTTTGAATCGGCCATGTTTTTTTTTCATTTTTCGAATACTGCACATTTTTTCGAAGTACATTCACCAAGGTTTCCATGACATTGGGAACCAATGTCATGAGATGACCCGGGGGCGCTCCGGTGCCCCGTTCGTAAAATTGACGGTTCCTACCCTCCCTAACCCCCCCGGTAAACCCCCCACCCCGCCCCGACCCGAACACACTCCCCCACCCCCTTCAATTGCACCCACAAGTTGATTTTGACTTTGGAGTCAAATTTTGACTCCAAAGTCAAAATCAACTTATGGGGTGCAATTGAAGGGGGTGGGGGAGTGTGTTCGGGTCGGGGCGGGG